ATGAATTATCATAATACGGTTTAATGCCCATAATTTATATTCAGTCTATTGATTATTGTCTCCCACCTTCACAGCCACATTTGGCTTGATCTTTTACGAATATTAGTTTCTATTTTATGGTGTTATGTGGTCTGTCTGTCTGGTATATAAACCGAATATGTTTGAGATAAATGAATGACATATTAGGAGCTGCGATTGGTGTTCTAAACTCAATTGGAAGGGCTAGACGGATAAGGGAACAATAAGGAAGCTAGACTGCTCATACTGGTCGAACGTCATTGATTTGGTACAGCGTTAAGATTAGACAAGTTGTATTTCAATTGGTGGGTAATTTACGTGAAAAAAACTTACTTACTTACGCCTGTTACTCCCAATGGAGCATAGGCCGCCAACCAGCTTTCTCCAACCCACTCTGTCCTGGCCTTCCATTTCTAGTTCTATCCAGTTCTTGTTCATTCTTCTCATGTCTGTCTCTATTTCTCGGCGTAATGTGTTCTTTGGTCTTCCTCTTCTCCTTTGACCTTCAGGATTCCATGTGAGGGCTTGTCTTGTGACGCAATTGGGTGATTTCCTCAAGGTGTGCCCAATCCACTTCCAGCGCTTTCTCCTGATTTCTTCCTCCGCTGGAATCTGGTTTGTTGTCTCCCACAGTAACTTGTTGCTGATAGTGTCTGGCCATCTGATCCGAAGTATTTTGCGTAGACAGCTGTTGATGAACACTTGTATCTTCTGGATAATGGCTTTCGTATTTCTCCACGTCTCCGCCCCATACAGTAGAACTGTCTTGACATTTGTATTGAAAATTCTAACCTTGGTGTTGGTTGACGATTGTTTTGAGCTCCAGATGTTTTTCAGTTGTAAGTATGCTGCTCTTGCTTTGCCGATCCGCGCCCTCACATCTGCATCTGATCCACCGTGTTCATCAATGATGCTGCCCAGATATGTAAAGGTTTCCACATCCTCCAAAGCTTCTCCGTCAAGTGTAATTTGATTGGTGCATATTGTGTTGTATCGGAGAGTCTTGCTTTTCTCTTTGTTTATATTGAGACCTACTGCTGCTGAGGCTGCTGCTACACTGGTCGTTTTCTCCTGCATTTGTTGTTGCGTTTGTGATAGAAGAGCCAGATCATCCGCTAAGTCTAGATCGTCAAGCTGCATCCTGCCTGTCCACTGTATCCCGTGCATTACTCCAGATGTTGACGTCTTCATGATCCAGTCGATGACCAGGAGAAAGAGAAAGGGTGAGAGTAAGCAACCTTGCCTAACACCGGTCTTTACTTGAAACGAGTCGGTGAGTTGTCCTCCGTGGACGATTTGGCAGTTTAGTCCATCATAGGAGTTCCGTATGATATTGACTATCTTCTCAGGCACACCGTAGTGTCGAAGAAGCTTCCATAGTGTCGTCCTGTCCACACTATCAAATGCCTTCTCGTAGTCGATGAAGTTGATGTAGAGTGATGAGTTCCATTCGATTGATTGTTCCACAATGATACGCAGAGTTGCGTTTTGATCTGTGCATGATCTATCCTTACGAAATCCAGCTTGTTGATCTCGAAGTTGGGCATCTACGGAATCCTTCATCCTGTTTAACAATACTCGGTTGAAGACTTTCCCTGGTATTGAGAGAAGAGTGATGCCCCTGTAGTTATCGCACTTGCTGAGATCACCTTTCTTTGTTATTTTGATCAGAAGTCCTTTTTTCCAGTCTGTTGGTACTTGTTCTTCGTCCCAAATCTTACTGAAGAGGATGTGGAGTATCTTGGCAGTTGCTGTTACATTTGCTTTCAGTGCCTCTGCCGGGATGTTGTCTGGTCCCGCTGCTTTGCCGCTCCTGACTTGTCTAATGGCCATGCTGATCTCTTCAATTGTTGGTGGGCCAACATCGATTGGGAGGTCCGTGGGTGCTGCTTCGATGTTGGATGGGTTCAGTGGAGCTGGTCGATCCAAGAGTTCTTTGAAGTGTTCTTCCCACCTGTTTCGTTGTTCTTCAATGCCGGTGATTACTTTGCCTTCCTTGCTTTTCACTGGTCTTTCTGGTTTACGGTAATTTCCAGCAAGTTTCTTTGTTGTATCATACAATTGTCTCATGTTTCCTTCTCTTGCAGCCTTTTCCGCTGTCGTTGTTAAATCTTCCACATATTTACGTTTGTCGGTTCTGATGCTCCTCTTCATTTGCTTGTTTGCCTCTGTGTATTCGGCTTGTGCCTTGGCTTTTTCCGCTCTGGTTCGGCTGATATTGATTGCTGCCTTCTTGTTCCTCCTTTCTTCAATTGTATCCAGTGTACCAACAGTGATCCATTCCTTGTGATGGTGCTTCTTTTGGCCCAGAACCTCTTGACATGTTGAAACGATTGCCTCCTTGATACCTTTCCAGTTGCTCTCCATGGTAGTCCCCTCTCCATTGAGTAGATTATGAAAGGCCTGGAACCTGTTGCTGAGGGCTATGTTGAATTTGTTGAGTTTGTCAGCATCTTGAAGAAAGGCCGTATTAAACTTTTGTGACGTTGTTCGCGTCGTTGTCCAGTGCTTCTTGAGTTTTAGTTTCATCTTGGCGACCAGCAAATGATGATCGGATGCTATATCAGCTCCTCTTCTGGTTCTCACATCCTCCATCGTCCTCCTGAACTTTTTGTTGATGCAGATATGGTCGATTTGATTCTGTGTAGTGTGATCCGGTGAAATCCAAGTGGCTTTGTGTATGTTTTTGTGTGGAAATATGGTGCCACCTATGACCAGTTTATTGAAGGCACATAGGTTTGCAAATCTCTCACCATTTTCGTTCCTTCCTCCCAGTCCATGTTGCCCCATGACGTCTTCGTATCCAGTGTTGTCCTTTCCAACCTTGGCATTGAAATTTCCCATCAGAATTGTCAGGTCCTTGGTTTGGCACTTCTCGACGATCGACTGCAGCCTAGCGTAGAATTGGTCTTGACCGTCTTCATCGTTGTTGTTGGTAGGCGCATAGCATTGGATGACGTTCATTGTAATGCCCTATCTCTTTGTTTTGAAGGAGGCTTTGATGATCCTTGGTCAATGAGATTCCCATCCAATGAGTGCATTTTGTGCTTTTCTGGACAGCATCAATGCAACTCCTTGTGTATGTGAGGCATTTTCTTCTTCATGACCGGAGTATAACAGAAGTTCCCCTGAGGATAATCGTTGTTGTCCAACCTGCGTCCAATGTGTTTCACTGATTCCAAGCACCTCCAGGTTGTATTTTCTCATTTCTGCAGCAATTTGGAAGACTCTTCCGGTCCCCCACATTGTCCGGACATTCCATATACCTATAAAAATTGTCGCTCTGGTTGTAAGAAAGTGCATCGGCCTCATGACTTCCAAAGGAACTCGGCAGGGCAGAGTTTAAATGGTTTGAATAATTTGTTCTGGTTAGCGCTTTTTTAGCGAGTTGGTTTTCTACGGTATGGGGTCGCTAACCCCATGCCCAACCCTCCTCCTTTATTCAGGCTTGGGACCGGCAGTGACCCTTGGAGGAGCTACAGGCGGAGTCCTACGTGACAAAATCATAACGAATTGGCAACGGCCTTCTTTTATAAAGTCATAACAAATGTGTTACTGGTTAAAGCATTGTCAAACTCGAAATTCCTGCGGAATCTTCTGTTAAAAAAAAACTAAAACGCAGACAAATATATGTGGACACATAGCAATGGAAGACATATTACATGAAAAATGGTAAACAGGGGAATATTGTCAAAGGTAGTGTATTAGTGAAGTGACTTTCAAACACACAACCGTAAGCATACCAGAAGCGTCTTGGATTAGGGACCTCTGCTCTATATTCACGAACCAAAACAGAATAAATTGTGTAAGAGATACAAAATTCTTACCTCTAATTGGCCTACAAGTGTATTTTTATGACAAGAGAGGAAATAAATGAAAAAATGAAAACAACCAAAATATATCTGTAGAAGTTACATAGAGTTTTATAGAGAAGACAACTACAGTATCTTCTCCGGGATATGAAATGATAGGGTGGAAAATTAAGATCCTGTGAATACGACAGAATGAAATAATCGTAACTTCCATACCTTACAGACTGACAATGATCCGGGTAATAATGATTATGGGGAACAGTGTGCTCGTGTTTGGGGTGGGGCAGAAAAACTATATTTTCAATCTGTGTACCAAGTAAAGCGTCTTACGAAGTCTGTAGTAGGATATGTCCACAATACTCGACCCAGTAGTAACCTCCCAAACTAACCAAGCGCTATACGCCTTTATACAAATCACCTTCATCAAGCCTCTCAATTTCATGAAGAACGGGGTTTAGGTTAACATATCTAATTCCAATCAGTGGGGCATCTAAAGAGGAGAATTCCACTCTATATCTTTATTATCTGTAAATGACCCAGCAGGGATTAAAGCAATTTGTGAGGATGAAACTATGAGCTTGAGTGAATAACTTTTTAAAAGTGGAACTCTGTGACTAAACACATTAAGCTTCAGTTAAAGTGATTTTATCCAACTCTGTCACGTTCAGTCACATTATTAAGTGGTTACTGCGACAAATTCATAGGAGGTTACCGATTTTTAGAATCTCATTGTCAATTTAATCCTTGAAGTAAGAACCACAGCTAACTGAGAAACATCAGTCCCCAAAAGCTCCTCAGTTTTGCAATTAGATTTTATACCTAATGCATAACAGACCACATCAGAAAGATGAATCTAGACAACTATCCGCTTTCCTTAATATATTTGAAGAAATCCAAATGATAGCAACTCAGTTGTTCATTGGCTGTTTGGTTCGTTATACAAGTTAAGGTTGATATGACTCAAGTTTTAAAGCTCATATGCTCGTGGGGGAGAGGTTATCATACGGCCCTAGGAATCGCTAAAGTTTGTGTTCATCTGACCTCCTCTTCAAACTTATGATCATCAGATTATCAACACATCGTCAGTTTCACTGAATAAAATATCCATGAACGCTATCCGACCGGCTATAAAACCAAAAACACTTTCATAGAAAAGATTTTGTTTCAGCTAGTCTTTGAAAATTTGGCGCCCTCGTCAAAACTTTTTAGTCTTGAGGTATCCCATTGCCTTCTGTTGTTATTTGTTGTCTGTTAATAACTCCCAGAATTAACAGCATTTCATTGTAGGATTGTCTTATGGAGACATATTCTCAACTAAATCGTGCTCAGCTCAGTTATGACTATCTCCATACCAACTCGTAATTTTATCTCGTAATAACTGGATTTATTTTTAGAACGACACATGAATTCCTCTTCGGTGCTATTGCGGAACTTATTGATAATGCACGTGATGCAGGTGCAACAGAGTTGGACATATACACAAGTTAGCTTTGAGTTTTCTTATTTGTCAAATTGTAGTTAAAGACAGCTCAGTGCGTGGTAACTTTCTTCTCTGCTTTGCAGACAACGGTTGCGGTATGACACCAGGTTAGTACGATTATTTTATTTTTTTATACCTTAAGACGATGTGAAAAATGTAATAATTTTCGGGAAGTCTTTAAAGAAGTGTGAGGATACTGCCGCTATTGGTATGTATGGGAACGGCCTAAAATCGTAGGTTTGATAATAGTTATTATCTACTATATTTTATAGTGGCTCTATGCGCATTGGAAACGACCTGGTTCTGTTTACTAAGAAGGATGGTATTTACACCTGTCTATTCTTATCAAGGACTTTTCATGAAGAGGAGAAACTTGATGAGGTTCTACTTTGACTCTTAATATTCATGACTTGCAGGTAGTTGTCCCGATGCCCTCTTTTAGAGGTCCTGAGAAGACCCCTATCGCAGAGACTCCTGAGGATAAGAAAAAAGTATGTTTGTCTTGTTTATAATGTTTCCTTAGCATGACCTCGAAATGCATTTAATCCTGAAGTACTCACCATTCCGCTGCCTAAAGGATTTCTATGCACAGTTCGATAAACTTAAAGAAAATTCAGGAACTGTTGTGATTATATATAACATGAAACTTCTTGATCATGGAGGACCTGAATTAGATGTCACTACGAACCCGCGTGACATCCTACTTAGTCCGGGATCAGAACAAGAAGAAACTGTTGAACCTGATGCTGAGGTTATGTAAGTAGAATGTTCTGTTTCTCTTCTTGTTAAAACACATTGATCAAACAATTTTATTTATTTATTTATTTAAACACATATATATTGGTACAAAAGGGCACCAGGTACATATGCGCCACACAAAATAATGAAAGTAGGAAGAGAAGGGATGAAAAGATAAGGCGGACTAAAATGTACAACCAGAAAACTCTTTCAGTTAAGAAAGTTAGAACCACTCTTTATGAAGAAAGTAAAAGAAGGTTACAGCAGGACCGCCACTGGCTTCTATTCTGAGCCATATCTGATAACGTCTCTAGCCACTGTGTTGCACCATCTCTCGGACCCCAGCCAGGGAGTGAAGGACCAACAGAAGCTAGCCCTTTGCAGCTCTCTTTCATGCCACGACACCATGTCATACACTGACCTCCTCTCCGCTTTTTCCAACCAGTCCCAGGGTCGGCAAATAATGCACGACGTGGAAGTCTCTGGGACGACATTCGTAAAACATGTCCAAGCCACCGAAGTCGGTGTTTCAAGATGGTGACACCAATTGAATTATCGTCTCTGTGCCCGAACACACGATGCCGAACCTCTGCATTACTAACATGGTGTTGCCACTGTATGTCAGCAATCCTTCGGAGACAACGATGATCGAACACAGAGAGACGTCTAACATCCTCAACTCGGAGAGGCCAGGTTTCATAAGCATAGAGCAAAACTGCTCTCACCGACGCGTTGTAAATCCGACTTTTTACAGCCAGACTAACATCACGAAGGCGCCAAAGATGGCCCAGATTAGCATAAGCCGATCTGGCTTTCCTTATACGTGCATCAATCTCATCACTCACGCCACCACCAGCACTTATATAGCTACCTAGATACATGAACTTCTCAACTATTTCGATCTGCTCACCATCCAGGGTGAGTACAGGATTAGAATCCTGCCAGTCTTGTAGAAGTACTTTGCACTTGGAGGGTGCAAAGCACATGCCGTACCTGCGGACACTGATTAAGTGCTGATTGCATGCCTTGGGCATTATCGCACAGTAAGACAATATCATCCGCATACTCAAGGTCGAGAAGTCGTTCTCCAGGCAACGTATCCACACCGCCATTACTTACATCCACCAGAGCTGTTTCTAGGATGTCGTCGATGGCAAAGTTGAAGAGGAATGGTGAGATCGGGCAACCCTGCCTAACCCCACCGCTCGAATGGAACAAGGGAGAAAGGTGGTTGTATGCCCTTACTCTGCCTGAGGTGTTCGTGTACAGGGCCTTTAAGATGTTAATGAACTTCTCAGGCACACCATTCTTCAATAGACAATCCCAGAGAACAGTCCTGTCCAACGAATCGAAGGCAGCCCTGATATCAAGAAACACTACGATTGTTGGCCTGCGATAAGTATGACGGTGTTCTAACATTTGGCGGAGGGTGAAGATGTGATCAATGCATCCTCGACCAGAACGAAAACCAGCCTGCTCCTCGCGAGTCAATCGTTCTCGGGCTTTAAACAACCTACGAAGAATGATAGAAGCCAATAGTTTGGACGCAATCGGAAGTAGACTTATCCCCCGATAGTTATTGCAGGAACAACGCGAACCCTTTTTAAGGATAGGGACGACTATTGACTCATTCCATGATGTTGGAACACTTTCTTGCTCCCAAACCTTTCCAAACAACACAGTCAATTCCTTAGTCAGAAGGTCGCCACCATCTTTAAAAAGAGCCGGAGGTAAGTCATCTGAGCCAGGTGATTTGTAGCGCTTCAAGAGTTGGAGTTCCTTGCGGACTTCCGCCTCGTTTGGTGGAACAGTCGTCACCGGCCATGGGGGGCAGGACAAGCTGGTTGATGTTGCCGGAGCAGCAGGCCAGTTGAACTGCCCTTCGAAGAATTCCGCCCATCGTCCAAGACGTCGGGAGATGTTAGTGATTGGCATCCCATCATCCTCGTAGATTGTTTCACTCACACCAGACTTCTTGCTGCCAGTGTCTCGGATGAGTTCGAAGAGCTTCCGGCAGTTACCAGATGCAGCTGCTGCTTCCATCTCATTAGCCCGCTCCGACCACCAGGCTTCTCGGTCCTTACGCAAGCTTTGCCCAATTTCATTACGTAACAGCCTTCGTTTGTGGTCAAACTCACGGTCACCCGGAGTAGACCGACGGGCTTCGATCAGTTGTAAGGAGCCAGAAGAGACCCAGTGCTTGTAGGCGGGACGTTTCGCGAAGCCGCAAGCGGCTTTACTCGCCATTTTCATGGCGTCGTGAAGATGCAACCAATGCTCATCTATACTTTTCGGTGGGGTGTTAGCTAGCCTAGAGGCTAGCTCCGCTCGATACTTACTTGCAACAGGAGTTGCAGCCAGTTTACTAATATCAATCCGTTGGTGGTGGTCAATCCTTCGGCCACTGAAAAGTAAGGTGAGATTGGCGCAGACCAGGGCATGATCAGACTCCAGATAGGTACTCCAAAAGGAGCGGCAGTCTTGTACACAACCACGCCAGCGGTAGCTGATCGCGATGTGATCAATCTGAGTCCAGGCTTGAGATGCAGAGGGAGGACGCCAGGTGGCACACCGGCGATGACTGTGCCGGAAGTTGGTGCTGGCCAAAAACAGGTTGTGGTCTGTGCACAGTTGCAGCAAACGGTCCCCGTTATCTGTCCTGCGACCAACAAGTCCCCATCGGCCACCTAGACGACTCTCTTCTATGCCTAGACGCCCGACCTGTGCATTCAAGTCTCCAGCTAGTACTACAATATCTGTCGAACGCGCTTTCTGGAGAAGAACTGTTAACTGATGGTAAAACTCATCCTTGATTGCATCCGGGCTGCAATCTGTCGGAGCATGGGCGGAGATGACGAAAGGACACCGTTTCTCACGCCGGTTTCTTCTCACTTTGATGGAACTTTCTAATCTAACAGCACATAACCGACTGTTAATGGGGATCCAATCTATTAGTGCTGCCTCAGCCCTAGCGCTTAGTGCGACGCCAACACCAGCAAGACCAGACGAAGATGCCACAGGGTCCCCGGATAAGCGCACGTGGAACAAGCTTTTCGAGGCGACAGATGGAGAGCGGATTTGTAGTACTTCACTAGAGTCTTGAATACGGGTCTCGGATAGACAACAAACGTCAACATTAAGACCTTCCAAAGACATAGCCAGCCCTATCTGTTGTCTGATCTGCATTAGTGTGCGAACGTTGAAGGAAGCCAGCTTGAACGGCGTACGTAGTTTCAGAAAGACTGCCTCAGTATTCATTATCGGTGGAAGCATTCACTTTCAACCAGACAGTGACTGGAGATCGTTTAGATAGGACAGATTTTCCACCAAGAGCGAGCTGCTGCATAAGTTGAAGAGTAAGGTTACACAAATTGGGGGTAAAAAGGGGTGAATTAGCGATATGGTAAGTAATAATAATAATAATAATAATAATAATAATAATAATAATAATAATAATGTAAATTGTCTTGCTTATAATATGAGCAGGAATAGAATCGTCAATAGAGTTCATCATTTCATTCATTTGTGTGTGGGCTGTGATACTGCCCGGGTGCCCAAACCGAAGCAGGTGGTTTTCTTAGGAGACCACACCCCGAGCCTTTGACCTGAATGTCTGATCCACAAGGCAGTGGAGCATCGTGAGGAGATGCAGTCCCATGGTAGCCGTTGACCAATGACAGGTTCTTCCGCCATTCGTTCCATCAGGATACTGGAGCCCATGTGCACCATTGGTTTGGAATCAGGGTTTTCCAACTCCCCTAGGTGGACCCTCCGTGTCCACCAATCCGGTTATAGCGCCGGGCATTCGCTTTTCGTCCTCTCACTTTCGTAAACAACACCCCCGCCACGAGAAGGCAGTGAGTAGGACTTCCCTGGCAGAGGCTATATATTCGCTGGCCATATGAGAGCATTTCGAGAGGGAGAGTAGACTCCCCACTCTCGGCCGTACCAGGGCATTTGGGGGCAAACAAAGCGTAACCTGATTTAGGAATCGCTAATAAGTGCTATGCAAGGCTTGAAAACATCTAATAAATGCAAGCAGTTTGTGTTCGTTTTGACTCTACATTCTCAGAACCCAGATTTATTTGAAGGAAACTAACAACGTGGCTCTAGAATACTTGTGTTATAATTCCCTAGCTTTTATTTCTATCAGTAGTTAGCTTTTCTTGTATACCATTTTGCCAACTTACGTCACCTATGGCGTAGACGAGATATCCGTCTATCAATTAAGGGACGAGTATACTGCGCAGCAGTTCGCTCTGTCCTACTTTACGGCTGTGAAACATGGCCATTAAGAGTAGAAGATACTCGTAGGTTACTAGTATTTGACCACAGATGCCTTAGAAATATTGCTCGCATCTGCTGGGATAACCGGGTAAGTAATAGTGAGGTTAGACGCAGGGTATTAGGGAACGATGGTAAATCAGTTGATGAGGTGATGAATCTTCATCGACTGAGATGGTTGGGCCATGTGTTACGTATGCCTGAACACCGATTACCACGACGCGCTATGATGACTAGTATTGGGGACGGTTGGAAGAGAGTTAGGGGCGGCCAAACCAAAACATGGCATCAGTGTTTGAAGTCACTAGCTTCTAGCCTGAGCCATGTTGGCAGATGCAGACTACCTGGTTGGGGTCCGCGTGACTATCGTAACCAATGGTTAGAGACTCTAGGTGACATGGCTCAGAATCGGTCACAATGGCGTAGGTGTATACACTCTTTATCTTCCCTTAAACCTTGAGACTAAAATTGCTTCATATCTCTCTTCCTTCCTGTACTATATCCTTATATACAACCTATAATTTATATACTACTACCAACACTAGATTAACTACTATGAATCCGGTGTTCCTCTTGTTGTGCTAACGAGGTATGGCAACTTGGACCGATGCATATATGTGCCTGGTCCTACGTTGTAGCTGACCTGACCATTTTCTTCCACTCTTTTTAATCAGTTGTGTTAAAATGGTATGCCAACCCTAACCAGAATACTTGCGTACTAATTTGTACTAGGTTTAATTTCCGGTTGTGTTTGGTCAACTAATCAAGTTTAGGTATGGGTTATAACTACTCACTGTAGTGTCCTAAGAGGGGTTGTTAACGATGGATATTGGCATTGACTGATGATTTTGTTAAATCTAGTAGTAATTTCGTATTAAAGCTAGTTATCCTCTTTATGTCCTGTCTAGTTTGTGGGGACCTACGTTTCCAATTTAAAGTGACTCAAGGAATGACATCACTTGTGTGCTGAAAATTACCAAATATAGCTGCAGAAACAGACTTGACTTCACCTGAGTTCAGCCAGTCAGCTACAACGTAAGAATAGGTACGTATATGCATCGACCCAAGTTACCACACCCTATTAGGTGTAGGAAGGATTTGAAAGCGACCAACTTGGTCTCATGTGCAGTTAAGGGTATGAGGGCTAGTATCACTTCCCGGCTGCCCACACCGTGGAAGGGTATTTCTTGAGGGACCTGAAAAAGAAGTTGGATTAGTGTTGGTCTTAACGACCTGGGAGCGTGACCGCAGTGCCCAAGGGACAACTGCTTGAGGCCGGTCACGCACGACCTTTTTGTGGGGGATTTTTGACGTGTTAGCCCCGTTCTTTAAAGGACCTTACCGCCGGAGACGGATATCCGTGGGTTAAGGCGAGGTGTGCATTTTTAGGGTCGACCTTTTCTAACCTCACCCCTCCTTGTGGGAAGGCAGCATCGCTGTCATGCTGGTTGTCTGAAGGAAACACCTTACTGCTTTCACACCTCTGTACAGTCAGCAGTACGACTTCGCCTTCGGACCTTGGGATTGCTGCTTTTAGTCTCACCGCTCTTCAACCGACCTGTCTGGCATGGTAGAACCTTGAGGAACGATTGTTCCAGCCAGCATAACTCGATTGGATCATCACGATATTCAAGCCCGACCACCACGTCAAGGTATCAGCAACGGTCCACCGACTGCCCCGACTTGCAATGTTTCATGGTGTAGGAGTAGGTTGGAAGAAAGCTAGGGGTAGCCAGGCCAAAACGTGGCACAAATCAATGAAGTCACTGACAAGTGGACTGAGCCATGTTGTAGGTGTAGACTACCTGGTTGGGATTCACGAGATGATAGAAATCGATGGTTAGAGACCTTGAATGACATGGCTCAAAATCGTTTGCAATGGTGAAGGTGCATCCACTCTTTGTGTTCTACGAAATTCTAATCTTCTGAATTCCTCATGTCTTTATCTTTTTCTCTTTCCAAATTTATTTCACTGTACTATACTCCTTCAATAATTTCTTCAAACCCTAATCTTTTGGATTTCTGATTATACTCCTACTACTTCTACCACTATGGTATTTGAATCGACAACTGCATCTCTGTGCTAATGTGGTATGGCAACTCGAACTGATGTACGTACGTACGAAGTTCTACGTTGTGACTGACTGACTGACTGACCACACCCTATTAGCACAACAAGATGAACAAATTCATAGCAGTTACTCCAGTGTTAGTAATATACAAAGGAAAGATTGTGTATAAGGATACAGTACAGGAAGAAAGAATTAGTTAATATAAAGGAAGATATAAAGCAATCACTTGATTCAAACGTAGTTGTCAGTACCTATAGTCATAGTATCAATAGGTATGCGATGCAACCTCATCAAGTTTCCAAATTCCCAAAAGTACATCTGTATTTCGGTTGGGTTATCTAATCATTTAACATACACTACTACTATTTGCTTATCATCAGAAAGCGACTAAACGATGTCTCTCCACCTTGAACAATAAGAAAACAACCGTTTTTACTGCCGATTAAGTTATTTTCCCTCCTAATAAGCGGAAATATTATACACGATTTTTTTTTTAATTTTCCTTTTTGCTGAACAACTAGAGGGTAAGTTTTAGACTTCATTTGCTTGAGAAACGTTTCCCGTGTGAGTTTCAGTGTTACACCTGTTGTCATGTTTTTTTTCTTACTGGAAGTTGATTACTAATGATACTGACATTAAAACTTCGTATTCCTCATAACTTATGATGCATGAAAATAAAAATGAGCAAAATAAGCTTTAGACATAACCTAATCTCCTTGAAGCCATTATTTCCTGGTTTTTTCGTTTAGATAACTGTAAATTCCCGTGGCTAAGAATTTAAACAGTACAATGTTACCGATAGCAATAACCTTATGTTTTCTCTTTTTTCATTCCCACTACACGTCTACTTGAATATAGAAGTGGTTTGAGATTATTTCAGTGGTTATGTCGGAAAGCAGTAACAGCCTTTTAGATGATTCTCTGAGTTAGCAAGTAAAGCTAGGTTATTTGGTGTCAAACAGTAAAAATTAGTAATAACTTGCCTAGTGATCTAAATTTTTCTCAGCACATCCCAGATTTCGAGTTATTCTTACTTATCTTTAAAATAATCACACTGTTAATTGCTTAACGCGTATAGTTTCAATAGAAAATTATGATTGGAGTTGATCATCAAAATCACTGGAAAACGATTGTTTAAATTAGACTCACATTGTTTTCTGGAACAATGCAACTTTGGCAAAAGACGTGAGGCAACTGTTATGCAATTTCCTGATGTATGTTAAATATTTGATCTTCAATTCCAGACAAAGTCACCTTTCACTTTACTCGACCAAAACTTTTTTGGCCAAACGAAATCGTTCCTAATACCCTCTTCACATCCTCTACTGCCTTTCAAAGGTTTTTTCATCAGTTACTGTGAATTTTATTAGTACACTCTTGTAATCTAATCGTAACTTAATCGTAAGTTAACTTATACAGGTACACCCAGCTGACGAGTCCCAAGTAGAACGGAACGCTCGTCCTGGATTCCACTACTACCCACTATCCATCTTTGCTTATTTGTAGATTGTTTACCTAGCATACTTTTCGACTATATTAATTTGTACTTAGCAAATTTTACTGATGAACATGTTTATGCGTTGATTTTAATAGACATTTAAGTTCACTGGGAAAAATTATAGCTTCAGTAATTACCAATAATCTGAATATCGGGTATTCAAACTTTGGTGTCGTTCGATTGATAAGTAATAAAAGAAATAAGTATAATTGTTACGGAAAAATTATCAAAATTTCTGAATCCTAACTTTACATTTAGAAGTATTACTTTGTAAGCTCCATTTTTATCGTTTGACTCAAGCATGACTTTTAAAACAGTGAAATACTACTTGTCCTCATCATAAAGCTGGTGTAGTGTCCATTTAAAGATAATATATATTCTAAATCTGGCTTTTATGTTTTTAAATATTAGTCGTATTCCAGATATCTTTGGCGCCAGAATATAGTCCAAGAAAATAGAATACATTTCTGGGAAAGTATAAAGTAGTAGAAGAAAACACCTTGTGAACTAAGTGCATCACTAATCAATTGTAAACCTCTTCAAGATCCAGTCCATCGCATGACAAAAATACGTTATTTGGACACAAAAGCGTTTGATCCTTTTTAAATCCCGTAGAAAACACAAATCAAGCTCATATTCTCTTTAAAAAAAATCAATTTCATATTTCATCCGTTTCTTTACATTTGTATTGCTTTTGTCTCAATTTCTATTAAAGCTTATATTCCTCTTCCTTACGTCCCATTTTTTGTTGATTTCCTCAGTGTGTGTGATGTGACAACTTGAACTGACCCATATGTGCCTGGTTTTACGTTAACTATAGTTGATTTCAATGATAGTGTGGCGTATTGTAAGTTTAAAACAATGAAAGACAAATAAAAAGACAGAAGAGAAACACTCAATGTTTATAGTTCGCTAGCGGTTTCGAGAATGTCATTAATAGCAAACTTAAAAGCTAGTTAGTAGATTGGTCAGCTATCGCACTCGTCGGTTTCAAATTGCGGAGAGACACTTGCATACTCCTATTCTGCTTAAAGTATTTCCGCATAGTGTTATTAATGTATTGATAGATCTTTCGGACATAATCTCTGACGAACAATTTCTGAACTCAATCCTAACAAATTAGTCAGACTTAATATCAAAGAATAAAACATTTTGGCTCATACTGTGATGTCCAAGCATCTGACATACACTGAATGACTTGCCTGACAGCCTCATAAACCAGTCCTTTGCACATCGGAGGAAAAACATACGACGTATAGACACCGATTTAATTTGATACAACAAAGCCGAATTAAATTAAAACCTCTGTAGTTCATCACATCTTAGTAGCAGACATTGATTTGCATAAGCAAACTATTCAACGTTCTTTTTTCGTCAAATGACAACTATACAAATGCGCTCTTTCTTCCTATTCGAAAAGTTTATGGATGACTTCAATGCTATTTTAGCATCAATAAATAATTACTAATATGCTCATTTTACTCTAACACCAAACTTTTTCATGCTACTGCTAAACTAAGGGTTTTCACACTATCAACCAATTTGTTCTCTATAAAATTTTTTTTTATCTTGCACCTTATTCACTACTTATTTCTAATATGATTTAAAAGTTATGCCACTTAATCAACCGATTGCATTTTTTATCTAACAAGTCTTTGTTTGCTTTATTGACCAAATTTATATTGTTTCATTTCACATCGTATATTGTATAACCTTAGGCAAGTACACAATACATATCTTTATTGTAAGCTCTCTCTTTCATCAATTTTTAGGCTCCCACCAGAAAGACGTAGTCTACGTGCTTATGTGTCAATTTTATATTCTGATCCACGTATGAAAGTATATTTGCAAGGACGAAAAGTTCAAACTAAACGACTACTAGCAACGTTGCATAGTACTAGAAAGTATAATTTTGCAAGCAAAACCTTTCGTACTAGAGCTGAAGCAGATTTAGCAAAAGCTAAGAATGATGTGAGAATAGGTAAGTTGTGATAAATTCATTTGGAAATAAGACTTGATTTTTAATACATACTTGTGTTGTTCAACTTGTATTCCATATAATTCCTCCTCTAATCTAGATAATACTTTAGATTGTCTTTTTAGTCCAAATCATTTTTATTTAGTACCATAAAACTTAATAAATTTTAGCTCAAACACATTAACTGCTTAGTGACTTCCAACAAAATATTTTCAAGTATAAAAACTAAAAACTGTGATATTCCCATCGCTCATTAATTAATTTTACCCAAGCTAATATCAGTAGCTTGATTGGGAAGATTGTGTGGTTAGACTACTTCATTAAGCACATATCTTTTTGTAAAAGCAAACGGCACTATTGTATTCAACCTGAGAACTGTATGTAAGAAGCACTTCTTTTGACCTAAGTGATTTTAAAAGCATAGGCTCCGCGACAAATAGAATAAATATCAAAACGATTATTGTTTTGGTATTGATATGTTTAGGCAAGAAGAAAGCCTAAAATTCAGATATTGATTGGTCATCTATGAATTCGATGTCGTCTAATCGTTTATGACATTTGGGCATGTTTATTCTTTTGTTCAGTGTTTTGTATATAAGCATGTTATTTTATCAAAAAAATTCTAATGGGCAGCTGTTTTATCTATTCAAATGGAGGTCTCGTGAGCAATCACTGATCGATCAGCGCGTTGCATTCATTCATTTGACAACCATAAAATTGTAATCCTTAATAGGTATTCACAGTTATGCATAGAAAATTGATCAATGTTGACGGTTTAGTGCACAAATCACAAAAACATCAACAAATGCAATTTGCTTCTGGAATATTTTCCTCACACAGCTTCCTTAATGTGTACCAGCTCCCGCATATTGTAACAACTGGTGTGACGTGTGTCTACAATTGGTCAATATATGTTTAGTGACCAATGTCGTATATGCCAAGTCCTTCTTAGTGCTGGTCTAATTCTGTCGACCAAGTTACATTGTGACCACTAGTTTGATTGACCCGACACCCGTGTGCACTATGTTAGCATGTAAGGTGGTGGTTTCGACTACCTCCAACAACCGCTTTATATCTTAAAGTGATGAAATTTGTTCCAGTAGTTTACAGATGCTTTTACTAAAAAGTATAGTTTTATAGATAAGGTCTTGATAACCACGTGTAGCAATTATGTTTATGGTATAGTTAGTCTTTCCAGTAAACGGATTTTTTGCATTAAACCTAGTTTTATGATAATACTAGTGTTCTCCAATCATATTATTTGTTTAATAAAATGGTAGAGATGAGATGTTACTTCATCGTGAATTTCTTCGCTTGTACTTTACTCTTCTCGTTTAAGCTGAACTTAGAGCTCAGGAGGCGGAAAGCAAAGCAAGGGATTGTGAACTTCGTTACCAAGGTTCTGAAGATCCCGAACATTTGGTAAGTTTTGTGATTCGAACTGTATTTTGTTCACATATAACTATAGCAAAATGTTACGGAGAGATACTAGTGAAGCTATATCTATATTGCATCACGCATTTGCTACCGTTTCTGGGAATACCTTTTTAACATGATCAAAAAATTGTTTTTATATTGGTACTTGGCTAAATACCACAGTATTAAAATGCATAATCCCCAAATAATTCACGTATGTTGACTACTGTAAGCTCTACTTGTTTTATCATTGTCCCGTATTTGTTCTTTCTGACACACATTTCATGCTTCATTTGATTACATGCTAACCTCCGAAATCGACCAATGGATCTTACTCCTTTACTCCCTATTAATATTATATTGCCTTACAACCTATTAATTATCTTCCATAAACCACACCCGATGAGTTCATTACTAACTATAGTCCCTGTTTGCTTAAAATTGGGCAATGTCATTAATACTTAGCAATAATTCGCACGCACTGCTCAAACCGAAATATTTTAAAGCTTTTATTTCCTAGGACATCGTACATTATTCAGTCAAATTTCGTAACTTACCTCACCAACAATAGTTTGTAAAATACTTCTCTTTACGTGTTAGGTATTGATATACTTCAAAGGAAAATAATCAGGCTTTCACTTAGGCCAACAGTTTTCTTCGCCTCAGTTGGACAGTATTGGTAAATTCACACGGACATCACGGATTTCAGTCTTTTTCGGGAAGTGTTTTATTTCACTGTATTGTTACACCCACCACAAAATGAGTTTCGCCGTCCCAGTCTTATTTTACTAAATGCAAACTAATGGAGCTGAACGGAATTGCAACTAATTCTTTTGGATACTCATTTTGTCAGTCACAGGTTTGGAACCTACTTGATTCACTAAGATTTTTGTGACTTAATCGTTCACTCACAGTTGGTATGACTTGTAACCTAATTCCCACTCTCACATGCGACTTCAGAAGTGAAAGAAAGTTTTTTTACCACTTCTTAACCACATTTTTACAATACAGTCACTGTAGAATATTCGATTTAGCATTACTAGAGGGTATAAATATCAATCGTTAATTCATTCTTGAAGTTCACCTGTATTTCATTTCATAATATTGCATATAACTGATTTGTACTTTTTTAATAAAGTCTCCTGACAATTGTCTTAATTGAGCGGCTGAATATCCAGAATGTAGATGATTATTTATTATAACGATTCTTTCGGGTTTCACGATTTTGATAAATTATATATCAAAAACCGACATTAGAATTTTTAAAAAAGTGGTCAATTTAACCACCCTTCTTCAGTGAATGTATTACTTGAATTATCAGAATAGTTATGAAAATTCAATTCAAAACATGGTAACGGCCACCAAACACGATATTTTTTTCCTTTCAGCGTCAAATACGCCGTCTTCGAAACACCGCTGCCGACCTACGCGGAGCTGTGGCGATGCGACAGAATGTTGTCACGCGCAAACTAAAATCAATCAAGGATCCGAAAACACTGACTTTTTATTTCGGTGTAAATGTTATGAACCGCGCTTGTGATGGTATGTTTGTCTATAATTGTTCCCGTCTAATCAAAATGTATCAACGTATCGGACCACAACAAGATTCAAGTATGATGTGCCGTGGTGTAGTTGGAATTGTCGATGTACCTTATATGGTTCTTGGTGAGTACTTATTCAAATAAGCTGTACCTATATCAATAATATAATACTCATCTTCAATGATTTAATATTTAGACCACTGGCGTGTTTAACAGTTACATAAATATATTGTGCATTGACCGTGTGATTCCTAATGCTCTATTTCATCATTACGTGAAAAACACTGGTTAGCAATCATCATCAACGTGTTTCAGCTTCGTTTTAATTTTAAAAATCCAAATATTATGTGTTGTCTAATACACTGTGCTAACAAGGTATGGCAACTTGTACCGATGCATATGTGTGCCTGGTCCTACGTTGTAGCTGACTGACTGTGTTAAATAAGTTAAGTGATTTGTAAAGATTTTTTCGTGAATTCCTAAACTAATGCCAACTGAAGAACCACTAAGCGTTAAACGGCTGTTTTGTCTTAGTTCGGGATTCCTCAACCGTATCAAACCTACAACCCTACACAATATAAAACCCAAAATAATTATGCTTCAAGGCGAGCGCGATATTTTAAATTGCTTGATTGCATTCCAGTCGTCTACATTATAAGGTAACACAATCCTCATCCGATATCACGATTGATAAACTTTCATTTCCGAATCGGTTAACATCATAGGTCAGAATTACACATTATAAACAGTTCTCTTTCCTTTTATATGAATATGATATGCTTGAATGCTAATTACGATTTCTCCTTACTCGTAAACGGAACGAAGGTCAATGACACAGTGACACGATAGGCTATTCTAATTCGTTGTCCCAGATCCCGCTAACTAGAGTGAGATGTCCAAGACAGAAGTGGGGAAAATCTATTCAGCAAGCAGCCAGAAGCACAAGCAATCAAAACAGGAAGAAATCAAACTTATATATACAGCATAAAACTGTCCTTGGGAAACGTTAAAAAATAGCATACTAAAAGATACAACGGACGAATAGCGTTTAGGATTTTCCCGAGTGGGAAATACAACGTGAAGGTGAAAAGAGCGCTTTTGGCGAGAAAACAGCGAAACTCAAATTTTCAAGATAAAATTACAAAAATAAGTCATTTACCAAGTGAATTCTGGGGATCTGACATCCCCAACAGAATAAATCATTAATTGGTTACTTGGTCATTTATTATTTATTTGAACACAAACATATTGGTGCAAGAACGCATGAAATACATATGCACCACACAAATCATTCAATATGTGTGGGGGTTCAAACACTGCTCGGGTGCCCAAACCGGAGCAAGTGGTTTTCTTAAGGGATCACTTCCCAAACCTTTGACCTACAGGTCTAACCCACAAGGCAGTGAAGCAACGTCGGGAGACGTAGTTTCATATTAGCCGGTGACCAATAACTGGTTCATACGCCATTCGTTTCCTCAGGATCCTGGAGCCGATGTGCACCATTGGTTTAGAATCAGAGTTTTCCAACCCCTCTAAGTGGATCCTCCATATCCACCAACCAGATTATTGTTTCATTTCACTTACGTCATAACAGATTGTTGTCCACGTCATCAGAAAAAATATCTAATACAGTTCTACAGATGATCTCAAAAATAAGAATAACCTTATTTCCTTTTTTCTCAACTTCTTTTCTTTTCAAAATTGTTTTATTCTATCAGAACCTACACATAACAAGCAAGATTTTGCTGATGCTAAAGAATATCGTCAGCTTATGCGTGCAATGGCGGATCATTTAATGCAATATTGGGATGACCTTGGGATTGATAAAGAACCAGACAGTTTAATACGATTCTGGAAAAGTTTTGGCTATCTATCAGCACGCTGGAGAGACCCACCTAGCATAGAAGAAAAATATGCTCGTCGTCGCTGTTGTTCTGTCTCCATTTGTGTTCAGTGTGGTAATGAGATATTTTTGTTGAGTTTAATTTCCCTTGATAAGCGTCTAAGTCCACTTACGCTTATAGTATGTCTATCTTTATCATTATGAAAGTTCATGAAATTAATTTGCCGCTTATTACGTAATTTACTTTTTTTAACCGCCAAATTATTGGTCTTAGGAGCAAACTTTTAGTGTAAACTCCAGTCTTTTTAGTCAGTATATTTAGTCAGTATATTTACTCTCCTCTAGCCATGATGATGGTTCCGTTAAAAGATTTCATTTCTTCATTTTCGGTGAACCCATGTAAATAAAGTCAACCTACGAACTTGCTCTTCGATACTCTTGTGTAAATTCTTTAGGGAAACAGAGAAAAGCTGAGAAAACAGTCAGTCAGCTACAACATAAAACCAGGCACATATATACATCAATACAAGTTACCATACCCTATTAGCACAACAAGATGAACACCAAATTCATAGAAGCAGTTACTCCAATGGTAGTAATATCTAAAATGAAAATTATGTATAAGGATAAAATGCAGGAAAAAATAATTAATTCGTAGAAAGAAAGATATAAAGCAACTTTAATCTCACAGTTTAAGGGAAGAAAGAGTGCGTATGCACCTACACCATTGTGATAGATTCTGAGCCATGTCGCCCACAGTCTCCAACCATGAGTTACGATAGCCACACGGACCCCAACCGACTAGTCGGCATCTACCAACATGGCTCGGACCAGAAATTAGTGACTGATGCCACATCTTGGTTTGTCCGTACATAACTCTTCCAATCGTCCCCAACACTAGTTAGCACTGCGTCGTGGTAATCGGTGGTCGGGCATACGAAACACGTGGCCCAACCATCTCAGTCAATGAAGATTCACGACCTCATCAACTAATTTACCATAATTCTCTAATACCATGGGTCTAACGCGTTTATTACTTAACCGGTGTTTCCCAGCAGATGCGAGCAATATTCTAAGACGTCTGTGGTCAAATACTAGTAATTTACAAGTACCATCTACCCTTAATGGCCACGTTTCTCAGTCGCAAAGTAAAACAGAACAAACTGCTGTGCAGTATACTCGTTCCTTAGTTGATATACGAATATCTCTCCTTCTCCATAGGGAATGTAAGTTAGCAAAAGTCAAATGAGCTTTCTTGAATCCGTGCAGAGATTTCGTCAGACACCAACCCATTAGGGCTGACCTGACTTCCAAGTTAAGTGAAGTTGTCGATGCGTTCAACTACTTTACTCCCTATCCTTAGTTCAGGTGTTGATGCAGGCCAGTCTTGGAGTAACAATTTACATTTAGATGGGGAGAAACACATTCCAAACATCCTGAGATAGTTGGTCAGTTTTATCAAAATACTCTGCATTTTATCAGCGTCTTCACCAAATAGGACTATGCCATCTGCGTATTCTAAGTCGATAAGTGAACCTCCTGGTAGGAGATCAATTCCTGAAAACCAGTCGACGAGAACGTTATTTCCAGTAGTGGGTCTATAATGAAATTAGGCAAAAATGGAGATAGTGGACAGCCTTGTCGGATACCACTTGAGGTTGTAAAGTCAGATGACAGTTCACCGTAATCTCTCACTCGACTAATTATGAATACAGTGGTCTTGAGTGCTGTTAGAGATATGAGGGTAGTTATCATTTCCCGGTTGCCCAAACCATGAAAGGGTTCTTCTCGAAGTGCCTGAAAAGGAAATTGGGTCAGGGGTGGTCTTAGTGACCTGAGAGCGTGACCTCTGCTCAAGGGACAACTGCTTGTGGCCGGTCACACATGACCATTTTGTTAGTAATTTTTGCGTTAGCTCCGTACGTGTTGGGACCTTACCGCTGGAGACGTATATCCATGGGATAAGGCGAGGTGTGCATTTCTAGGGTCGACCTTTTCTGACTCAACCCTTCCTTGTGGGTAGGCAGCATCGCTGTTATGCGGGTTGTCTGAAGGAAACACCTCACTGCCGTAACACCTCTATATAGTTAGTAGTACGAATTTGCACTCGAACCTTGGGCTTGCTGCTCTTAGTCTTATCTTTCTTCAACCGACCTGCCTGGCATGTAGGACCTTGAGGGACGATTGTTCCAACCAGTATAGCTCGATTGGTTCGTTACGACAGGCAAGCCCGACCACCACGTTAATATAACAGCATCTGTCGGGGTGTATGAATTATGAGTGTTTTTATGAGTTTGAACCTTGTATGGTTTTTCATCTTTCAGATAAATGCTTAAAATGGAGAATACTTCCATTCTCACAGAGCCTTGTTGGACGCGATGTTCCAGATAATTGGCAGTGTCGTGATAATCCAGATCATAAACACAAAAGGTTGTTGCATCTATTTTGTTCACTATTTTCTTCTGAGAAGTTTCTTGCACTCACTTCATATTACTGATATGTAAAATTAATAGCAATTTTGTCTTACTTTTCTATTAGTCGAAACTGATGTGTATTTGTGTTTGTACGCACATTCCAACATTATCAACGTATTAGAATTCTGTGGATTGTTGGCTGACCGTTTCTGATATCGTTTGTTGATTCATTATTAAAATTAATAGGGAAAAAGTAAGAAACTAGCAAAATTCAAGTATATTCGATGTTTTTTTTAGAAATTTGACTTTTAGCACTTCCGATCTGGAACATCATTTTAATTTCTACTGTAGTGAACAAAGACCTGGTGGGGTAACCAATTTATTGCCTAATGCACAATCACACAGTGGTTTAGTAAAATGTGAAAGTCATACATCATTTGCACATTTTGTCATATTGATTCCTTTCAGTTTCCTTTCCTCTTTTCATTTCAGTCTTTTCAACCTTCTGCTCACAGACATTCCACTTCTGGCTGGTGTTATATACTACTTATACTTGTCAACATAAGTAGTATACATTATATTACAATCTTTAAATTAACTTTACACAAAATATATCTGGTTTTATTTTATGAATATCATTTACAACTCAAGTTCCCATTAGCTTAATAGGATAAAACATATTATTGCAAGTAAACTTTATAAATCTCAACAAAAACCCGAAGCATGATTGTAGTGTTCTACACCTAAGCAACTAATCATACAACAATAAATGACCTTAAGATACAAGACTTAAAATTTAGTTCATAATAATGTCTTTAGGGATTATTCACTTATTGTTAGTGAAACTGTATTGTTCATTGTCTTCTGAATTCATATGAAACTATTTGTAGCATAACAAGGTACATTCATTAAGGAACTCCACAGTTCAATTTAGTTTCAGATTGACATTATTAATTAAAAACTAGATTAGTTTCAAGTAAAAAAGAAAGTATAATCTTTACCAAGTTTGATGGTTTTTGAGCTGTATATACATATCATGTGAGGATTGGTTATTGAATTCAGTCAACGACTAATTTTCAACTAATTCGTTTAGCTGGGTTACCAGGTGTTTGCCGAATCAACGTAGTGTTTATTCATCTAATTTTTCCATGTCCGATAAATTAATAAAGTGATATAAACGTTTTTCTTCTTTTATCTTCTCTCTGGCTTTCTGCTTTAAACATTATTGGTTAATTATCACTTTGAAGATGTGAGGATCCTGAAGAAGATATGAGCCCACCTATGGGTGTCTTAAAGAGGAAAATAAAAACTAAGGAACAAAGACAGGCAGAACTCGAAAAACAAATCCGTAAAAAACAGGTACGTATTCAGTTAATAGAACTAGTATAGACATAACTCATAGGTTAATAGCATTTTGTTAAGTCTGCTAATTGAACGCTCGATCCGATTTTCTAGCCGCCTCTAATGACCGTACACTAAATCTATACGGCAACTTGAACAGAAGAGAAAATATGCGAAGTTCTAAAAAATATTTACTGCAATGTACGGAAAACCGTGTGTATTTATACTATTTAACGTGGCCTAAACCGTCTAGAAAGTTCTAAAAGGTAACTATCCAATCAAAAATATAAAACTATCTGTCATCATTGTAGATGTTTCAAAGAACTAGCTAACACATTTATTTTTAGTCTTATGTTTCAATGCACCAAGTTATTTAATTCGCTCCGAAAATGTATCTGTCTAAGGATAATTCATTTTGAATAATCTTATAGGTTACTGTATTCATGATCAAGCTTTGATTTTTGACGAGATTTCATTCTGTTTTATCCGTATAGGAAGAACTTGAACTTATTCAAGATCCTGATGATGAAAAAGCTGACGATTCCAGTGCTACTACTCGTAGTGGTCGCTTAAGTGGCCATGGGAGTTCAGCTCTCTCGAAATCTCCTCGTAAACGCCCCCACCCACCTCCAGCTATCTCGGATCTCCCCAACAAGCGATCTGCTCAATCCTCTTCCACTTCTCGAGCAATGACTGTTGCAGATAAAAAACGTCAAGCTGGATTGTCATCATCAAATGGCCCTGTATCTTTATCATCCCAAAAACGTACTGGTTTACCATTACCTACAAGTAATCAAAGACAACCACGCCCCAGTGGTCTAGTCCCTAAAGCTCAGCAACGGAATTCAACTACCCCTAAAGTAAGTTGTTGTAATATACTATTATCCTCCAATAACAAATGTCTGCTCTCCTGTATCGAAATTCATTCAGTTTCTAAAAGTTACAAACTGAAATTCTCCTATCATGTAAGATATAGCGATCCAGTTTGTAAAAGGTGCTTGTTTCCTGAAGTTCTATTATCCCAGCTAATTAATGTTACTATTTGGTAATTAAAGTAAACATTTCTAGCACCTACTACTCTTAACCAAGCGAGGAAACAAAGTTTTCTTTTTTTCCCTAGACCCAACTAATCTCAACGTAGTTAAAATATTTGGTAGAAAATAAATCTACCAAAAAAATAATTTGGTTATAACATACAAATGTATTTACAAAGTCCTTGTAAGTTCAGCGATAAATTAGTTTACGGAAAGCATAAGCAAACCATTAGGCAAATACCATCCTTGATGGAGATAGAAGTGGAAACACAGTAAAGCGTGAAAAGATTTCTAGCTGCAAAAAAATGTTTAGAGTAAGTTATAAAATCGTAAACCTTACGATTTAGTTTAAGGGATCCAATCAAAATGCAGGGTCTTCTGTTCGCTTTGAGCAACAATGCAAAAACGTTTGGAATGCGTCTCTCCTCTCAATGTAAAATATTGCTTCAGGATTGGTCTGCATCAACGCCTGAACAAAATTGTTGTATGTCGACTGCTTCACTTAATTCGGAAATCTCAACAACTGTGCTAGGTTGGTTTCTGACAAAATGTAGACACAGATTCAGAAAGCTCAGTTGTCTTTTGCTAACTTGCGTTACTTGTAGCATTGGTGAGATGTAAATCTTCCAACCGAAGGACGAGTATACTACACAACAGTCCGCTCTGTATTACTCTATGGCTATGGAACAGTCTATGAAAGTAGAAAGCATGTATAGACTTCAAGTTCTTGGTCGTAATTGTCTTCCAAGCATTGGTGCAACAACCAAGCGGGCAATGTCGGGGTTAGGCGGAGGTAGATAGTCGGTTGATGAGATTGTGAATTGACTGACGTGGCGAGGGCATATGTTACATATGCCTAACAATGACTTACCTCGACGGACAACGTTGGATGGTGTGGGAGTAGGTCAGGAAAAGGCTAGAGGCGTACAAATCAAGACAGTGAGATCAGTTCTACAGGAAACTTTCTGACCTTCTCCGAGAAGCTAGGCGTTCTGATGTAGTAATAGTAGCAGGTGACTTTAATGCTCAAGTAGGTAAACTAAGTGAAAGGGAAAGACACCTGGGTGGATCTTATGGTGTCATGGCGAAAAGAACAGATAATGGCGACCGTCTGTTGCAGCTATGCTCAGATAACCGCCTATTTCTTGCAAATACTAAGGAAAAACATCTTTTGACATGGCGACCCTCGAATTCGTCCCAACGTTGGACCCAATTAGATCACATCGCCACCGATGGAGGGGCTCGATAGAAGACTGTCGCTCATTCTGGGGCACATGTTTAGATTCAGATCATGCTCTAGTGCGAGCACGTATCTGTCTGCGTCTTACTGGTCGTAGGAAAGACACTGCAGGGAAGCCTCTAAGGGTTCTACTTAATGATAGTCAAGCTAAGAATATATTTCAGGAACAACTAGGAAAACAGTTAGGCAGCCATGTAAGTTGTGTCCACCCCGAGGCAGCGTGGAATGACATCCGAAAAGCTGTGGAAACAGCAGTGATATCCGCTAGTAAGGTAAACCATAACGTTAGGGAGAAACAATGGATCTCGGCAGCATCTACCGCACTGATAGATGCTCGTAAACTCATCCCACCTGGCTCTGAGCATAACGAAGAGCGGAGTCAACTTAAGCGCAGGCTTATAAGAAGTCTACGTAATGATCGTGAACAGTGGTGGGTAGCGAAAGCAAGAGAGATGGAAAAGGCTGCGGCAATAGGTAACAGTAGGCAGCTATTCAGACTCGTTAAAGAAACCGGTATTAGGAACCCGAATATCAGTGAAACCATCTCAGATAATGATGGGCATATTATTCATTCTCAATCCAGGACACTGGATCGATGGGCAGAACACTTTAGGGATCAGTTCAACTGGCCTTCAGCCACACTTCAATCACCCACGATCGCCAGTCGTCCTGAATGGCAAATTGATGTAAGTCCTCCAACACTCTGTGAGGTTGAAAAAGCTATAGGAAATCTGAAGCGAGGGAGAGCAGCAGGCCCTGACAGGTTGACCCCTGAGATTTTTAAGGATGGTGGTCCAGTACTAGCAGTGAGATTGACTGAGGTCTTATGTAGAATCTGGGAACTGGACGTAATTCCATCTGACTGGTCCCAATCGCTGATTGTGCCAGTCTATAAGAAAGGACAAAAGTCCTCTTGTGACAATCACAGAGGGATCAGTTTGACTAATATAGTGTCTAAAATATTAGCTTCATTATTACTAGGTCGCCTAACCAAAGCTCGTGAAGAGCAGACTAGAGAAAACCAGTCTGGTTTTCAACCTGTACGTGGTTGCATAGACCAGATATTCACCCTACGTCAGGTTCTAGAACATAGACACAAATTCAGACGTCCCACAATAGTAGTATTTCTTGACCTTAAGGCGGCATTTGACTCTGTTGATCGTGAGGTTCTATGGCAATGTTTGTCACTGAAAGGAATACCAAAGAAGTACATTAACCTCATAAAGGCTCTCTACTCGAACACAACTGGTCGAGTTAGAGCCTATGGCGAACTGTCATCAGAACTGATTACCACAAGTGGCGTTCGTCAGGGCTGTCCACTCTCCCCATTCTTGTTTAACTTTGTCATTGATATACTTTTAGAGATAGCACTTTCATCAGCTAAACCTCCAGGAGTTGAACTTTTACCGGGAGGCTCACTTATTGACTTAGAATACGCCGACGACATAGTTTTACTCGGTGAAGACGCTGACAATATGCAGAGTCTTCTGACTACTATAAGCAACTATGCAGGCATGTTCGGAATGCGATTCTCTCCCTCGAAGTGCAAAATGTTACTTCAGGATTGGGTTGCACCGACACCTGAACTAATGATAGGGAGTGAAGTAGTTGAGCGTGTAGACCACTTCACTTATCTTGGGAGTCTCATCAGCCCTTGTGGTCTGGTGTGTGACGGAATCTCAGTGCGGATACAGAAGGCTCGTCTAGCTTTCGCCAACTTGCGTCATTTATTGCGTAGGCGAGATATCCGTCTAGCAACCAAAGGACGTGTCTACTGTGCAGCAGTTCGCTCCGTCCTACTTTATGGCAGTGAAACATGGCCAATAAGAGTAGAGGATATTCGTAGACTACTAGTGTTCGATCATAGGTGTCTTCGAAGCATTGCTCGTATATCCTGGGACCACCGGGTAAGTAATGCAGTTGTTAGGAAACGAGTGCTAGGTAGGGATGGCAAATCGATTGATGAAGTAGTGAAACTTCATCAGTTGAGATGGCTGGGACATGTGTTACGTATGCCCGACCACCGACTGCCCCGACGTGCAATGTTTCATGGTGTAGGAGTAGGTTGGAAGAAAGCTAGGGGTGGCCAGACCAGAACGTGGCACAAATCACTGAAGTCACTGACAAGTGGACTGGGCTATGTTGGTAGGTGTAGACTACCTGGTTGGGATTCGCGAGATGACAGCAACCGATGGTTAGAGACCTTGAATGACATGGCTCAAAATCGTTTGCAATGGTGAAGGTGCATCCACTCTTTGTGTTCTACGAAATTCTAATCTTCTGAATTCCTCATGTATTTATCTTTTCTCTTTCCAAATTTATTTCACTGTACTATACTCCTTCAATAATTTCTTCAAACCCTAATCTTTTGGATTTCTGATTATACTCCTACTACTTCTACCACTATGGGAATTGAATCGACAACTGCATCTCTGTGCTAATGTGGTATGGCAACTCGAACTGATGTACGTACGTACGAAGTTCTACGTTGTGACTGACTGACTGACTGAGTGAGATCAGTAGATGAAATCATTAACTTTTGGTCTACTCTATGTTGGCAGATGCAGATTAGCTAGTTGGAGACCATACATTGATTGTTACAGTGATTGTAGAAACTGTATGACATGGCTGAGAATCGTTCACAACTCCGCAAATATCAATACCGTTTATTTTCTACTACACCAGGAATTCTACTATTTCTTAATAAGTAACTTTTCGTTTTTTTTCCAAACCACGTTGTCAATATTTGGTTTTCCTCATTGTCCTTTCTCGTATATTATTTCGAATCCTTCGCTTTTCGTTTTGGTGATTTCTCCGTACCGCACCAACTTAATCTTGTAACTTTAGTCAATGCATATTTGTGTTAAGCACTACGTTAAGTATGACTGACTGATAAGTCATAATCCGTATTTTAACTTTTTTTCGCTTATTTATCAAAGTAGCCGTAAAAATTCGGACTCTTCTACTTTTTGTTTAGGGTCGTAAAGTCATAACAGCAGAAAGTGAAAGCAGTGAAGAAGAAGAGACAAGTGACGATGATGAAGAAGAAGAGGAAGAAGAAGAAGAAAACGAAACCTCTAAATCAACTTCTCGTAACAAACAAATTACATCCTCTCTTCCAAAAGTAAATAATTCCATTTCTGTAGTGAGTTTTGTTTTTCATTTTTAAATTCGACGTTTACATATATATCGCTTAGTACATATGTGTCTATATTGTTATTGTTCACTGTGTGTTATGTATTTTATCGTTTGTATTGCCTCTAATGTTATTTACCATTGGTGTTAAATTCCACTTGGAGTATAAAACACTCAAAATAAACTAAAAATTGTCCAAATGAAATGGATTTAAATTCTAATCTACTAATGATAAATCGGAATAGTCATTATTTCATTCATATGTCCGCTTAATATCGCATTCTTAATATTGTATTCTACTGACTTTCACTTAGTATCCATCCGATTCTTACTGACTATCACCAACAATTTCATTATAATCAATTTTCTTCTTTTATGTGGTCAAATTACTGTAGAAATTCTTTTTAACCATACACAGTATGAAATCAACAGATTGACAATGGTCATTCAGTAAAGTCAACGTATTATTTGCCTTTATTTAAAGTTTGTCAGTTTTATAAGCGTTTTAACAAATCGTTTATATCTCATACGTCCGATACTGAAGTATACATAACGGTTTTCAGTTAATCCCTAATGCCTTGGTACGGCCGAGAGTGGGGAGAGTCCGCTCTCCCTCTCGAAATGCTGTCACATGGCAACGCATATATAGCAAGGGAAGTCCTACTCACTGCCTTATCATGGCATTACTGTTGTTTAAGAAATTGAGAGGACCAAAAGCGAATGTCCGGCGCTTTAACCGGGTTGGTGGACACGGAAAGTCCACCTAGAGGATTTGGAAAACCCTGATTCCAAACCAATGGTGCACATGGGCTCCAGTGTCCTGAGGGAACAAATGGTGTATGAATCAATCGTTGTTCACCGGTTGCCATGGGACTGCATCTCCTCACGATGCTTCACTGCCTTGTGGATCAGACCTTTAGGTCAAAGGCTCCGGGTGTGGGCTCCTAAGAAAACCACCTACTTCAGTTCGGGCACCTGGGCAGTATCACAGCCCTCACACAAATCGAATGAGATTTGTGCGGCGCATATGTATCTGGTGCCCTTATGTACCAATATTTATGTGTTTAAATAAATAAATAATCATCTAGCTATTATCGGTGGTGCATTAACATAGAATTTATTTTGTTTCCGGTTAACTATGACGAACAAAGTATCAGAAACTTTACTGATTCAACCAATACACGTGGATAAACACCTCAAACTCCATTAAAAGTCAGGCTCAAAATGTAATAAAATGGTTTTAACGTTTGTTTTGTTCTATCATGTAAATAATTTAAGTATTGTATTGGATAATATACAACAGAAAGTTTTCCGACCGGTTCATATTAGCTTTATCCAAAATTAATATATTTATGCATAAAAATATAAGGTTTTATTGAGTCAACATCTAAGCGAAAACCATTGAAAGCTAAAGGATATATCCAAATCATAGTTCATATAGATTTCTCGACTTAGTAACTCTCACACACAATTGTAAAGCAGTGTCTTAGTTAACATGTTTGTCCTTATCTAGACATAATCCAGAATGTCGTGATCAACATTTATTCCTTTTTAACTATTTCTCCTATTTCGACTTCCGTTCACTTCAATATTACTGTCCATCCTATACTTCTCATCTAATTGATTTCCTTCCACTGATCATTGTCTTGTCGTATATAGTAACTGATTCTACACACCCTTCACATGTCCCTACTTTGATAATGACTGTTCAAGTGACTTCAAACCTGTGTTCTTGTTGCAATAAAGTAAATAATGTAAACATTTTCATTTCAACTTGTTTTCAGACTAAAATCAATACTTCACAAACTCCCGAAAAAAATCTTCCGAAAACAACTGATGAATTAAATGGCAAACGAACAACTAATAAAGATAAAAGTCCCGCTCACGATTCAGTCACAATGCATCATCGTAATCGAACTTCAATAGGTCCAGACAACGGTGATGCTACATCCATAATAAATAAGTAAGTTAATACACAATTCAAATCCCCACTATTATTATTATTATTAATGTTGATACTTAAATTTCCTTCCAGATTGTCTTCCATTAAAAAAATAATCTATCACTATTAACTACTCCATAAACGCAAACAATGCTGAATCTGACAAGAAAAAAAAACACCAGTTTGACCCCCCGGTACTATACATCATTAAACTGAGGCGAAAATCAGCAAGACTATTGAGGGATATAATAATAATAGTAATGTCAACAGTAATCGAAAACTTAAAAAAATTAAGTTGTATTAACAAGTGTTAAATGTATTGTTAACCGTTTTCGAGTAACTCAGATGTAAAAAGTGATTTATAGAAGTCTGGGGCCTCCTAATTAATCAGATGTGCAACAAAATTTTAAGATAATTCACGTGAACTAACATGAGTTGTTCGATATGACTCCGCTAAAACAGAAGCATCACCCATTCATATCGCAGCTGTCTAAGCGATCAGAAGGTTACTGTCCAAGTCATTTATAAAGCATAAAGTACATCATGAATACAGTATTGGAGTGAAAGTTTAAGTGTATCAATGCCACCGATGGAATTAGTAGTTTCAAAAAAGTTAAGCATTAGGTAGAAAGTTAATAATGAATATATTTTTTGTTATATCCTAAATGACTGAATTCGGTTATATGTTTACTCTGAGAAGTGGCTTACATTAAGGGTCACAAAACGTCAAAAAAATATTTTTCTACTCATTGGGATTTAACAAAAAATACATTTATTATTAAAGTTTAAATATTGTTAGTAATCATACATTAAAATAGAAAAAAGACAGGTGGAAGGAAATGACAGTTATTTATTAAGTGAGTTTGTGAGTGTGGATATGAGAGCATACTGGGCTTGATTATCTGACTGCCCCCAAATGCCCGTGGTACGGACGAGAATGGGGAAAATTCGCTCTCCCTCTCGAAGTGCTCTCACATGTCCACGCGTATATAGCCTCTGCAAGGGAAGTCTTACTCACTGCCTTATCGTGGCGGGGGTTTTATTTACGAAATGGAGAGGGTGAAAAGCGAATGTCCGGCGCTTTAACCGGGTTGGTTTACACGGAAAGTCCACCTAGAGGATTTGGAAAACCCTGATTCCAAACCAATGGTGCACATGGGCTCCAGTGTCCTGAGGGAACAAATGGTGTATGAATCAATCGTTGTTCACCGGCTACCATGGGACTGCATCTCCTCACGATGCTTCACTGCCTTGTGGATCAGACCTTTAGGTCAAAGGTCCAGGGTGTGGGCCTCTAAGAAAACTACCTGCTTCATTTAGGGCAGCCGGGCATTATGACAGCCATCACACAAATCGAATGAGATTTGTGCGGCGCATATGTATCTGGTGCCCTTATGTACCAATATTTATGTGTTTAAATAAATAAATCAGTAGATCTGATGACTGAACTAAACAAATTTAAAATATATAGAATAATATTTTTTTCAGAAATTAGTAGAAAATAAATACATTGATGTGTACAACTGTGACGGATTTCAATCTGTCACTTGAAATGTCCAATAAATAGTCAGGGTTATTTACAAAACCGGTATATGAAAATTCTTGGTTTCCTTTTTAGATCTTTCTCTATACAGTACACTCAGTCATGCTCTGCATACTTATCTATACAATAGGTGATGGACGTTTTGCACTGACTCCAAGATTGTGTCTGTAACCAGTGTACCTAGAATTGATTAAACTACTTTTTTTTCAATATTACCAGCTTAAATATTGACATGAACCAATATTGAAGTACTAGTTATCATTTTAGAGATGAAGAACGCATTCCAAATATTTTTGTATTTCCGCTCAACATGTTTAAAAAAATCCCCCCCCCTGTTTTGATGTAAAATGTATGATAACTTAAGCAGTTACATATTTGTTCCAGCTTATACATCCTTTATAGCTGATTAATGTTGAAAGTATACGTTAACGTTTAAAGATTTTAAGTCTTTGATCGAAATCTACTCTATAGTAGAACCTTATCTATGGAAAACTCAACTTTGAAGTGTACATTCGTTAACTAGTTCAAAGTAATTCCCATGATAAGAAGTTGCACTTCATACCCCATAAGATAAATAGTTGAAACAAGAGTAGTTATGAAACAATTAAGAAAACAGATTCTTTCCAAACATTGGATTCCAGCCTAATTATGTTATATGACTTGATTGTAAAGAATTTTGCTAATAATGACTAACGTTCACCGTGTGGTTACCTTTGTTCAGAATGATTCCACTAAATAATAAATGAACACTTAGTAACATCTCTGCACACGTACATATGATGGTACATGTAGAGTCATTTTTTTGTTATACTTCACAATTGAATCATTTCATAGTCAGTTATCACATTGTATCAGGTTTTATTTACTAACTCGTCTGAATTTTTTAAACTAATCTCTGATTATTTTGTTGCGAATTGATTCCTAGGTATTTTATCGAAATCCTCTACGAGGTAATACGGTAGCTGGTTGTCAATTTAAGGAAACTTTCTGTGTTTTGCATATTAATTGCTAGTTTTGCTATGATTACCCTCTGAGTGATTATTGCTCTGTCAATACTGTTACTACCTCTACTATTCTGGGATTCGCCCTAAAATTTTTATCTCAGTGCTAACGTGACATGGTAACTTGTACCAATGTACATACGTACCAGATACCACGTTGTGTCTGACTGACTTATTGCTCTGTTGATTAACTAGGGAAACTGTATCATAGTGAAACGTTCAAAACATAACAAACACTTAACACTATCCTTAATTATAATAGCCTTTTATATTAGATTCAGAATTCTTACTGCTTATATTTTAAATAACTGAATTGTCAAGTTTTATTTTGTCATGAAATGATTAGCTAGTAGTTGAACCACTTAGCTTTCAACAGTTGGATATTAAATTTCAACCTCTCCTCAGCTACTTCTTTCCAGGGAAACCGAGTAGTAGAGATGGCTTAGTGGTTAAGGCATTCGACTTATGTCCAAGTATCTAGTGAATGAGTTTTTTTATTTATTTCACAAGCACTGTTGCTCAAATCTATCTGCCTAGGTTTCCATATGATAAATAAGTAACATTATCATTGCTTTTTCATTTTGCTGCAAATTTGTCGTTCAATAGTAATTCAACCAATCGGTTGTATATATTTATATTTATTTCTTTTTCAAAAAGGGATCAAAATAAAAGCAATGATTCCATAGGGAATAAATCAAAAGAATTGAATTCAACAGTTAACTCTTTATCATCTGAAGCTGTAAGAATTATTAATTAATTAAATGATTTAAACAATTTTTGATATTAATATTTTAAATTGCTAGACGAAAGAATAATTTGTGTGTTAGTTCACTAATTTCCTGGTTGTCAATATTCCTTAGACAACCATATATATTTCTAGGACCATAACCGAAAAGTCGTTAAGGACCAAGAGATCCCTGTCCTGTATAGCTTTCTTTCATACTACGACTATGATATGAGACTTTACTTAGCTTGTTCATGAACATCAAAAAACTGGTCTTAGCTAGACCACTATTGAAAACCTAAAGCACTAGGCAGCCGTTTCGTTCTAATATGGAACTCAGCTGTACGAATCCACGGCCTTGTGTGTGGGAATCGAACCTAGGATCTTCAATCTCGGTATCGGTATCTTCTAGTTGCTTATAAATCACCAGATCATGTTTATTTTTGTGCTGAGAGTCGGTATGTTCTTTCGTTGAAATCCCATTCTCTGAGTAATGTAATTTAATATCAGTTCATTCAGAGACGTGCGTCAGTGATATAGTTTTATAACCACCCATAATTCGGCTACATTGGCCCGTTACGTTCTGTCTATTTATCTATCGATGTTCCATTCAGTTATTTTAATGGTCCTCAAACTATTCATTATTCATCAAATTATAATTCATAATATTATCCTATTAAACTTCTTACAACAAATGAACTAGAAGATGGAATACACAAAATATCATAGTAAAAATAAATTTGACCATCAGAACCAACAGAGAAACGATAACATAATAACTAGGATAGGAAAAGTTGTTCCATAAGATACTTTCAATAATTGTTTGCTAAATTATCCACGTAAACGATCAGACAAATCAATACACCATTGGTTGTGACTCTAATCCCGAACCTCTACGTTTTTTGTTTTCAAAAATAATCATCGTAAACACCCACTAAGTTTTTCCAGCCAGTAGTGCTTATGTCTTAAAATCGATTAGATTACTAGCTCCATCACTTATCCCCCGCAGCCATCGATATTGACCTATGCAACTGTAACATACAGTGCCATTTTTTTGTTTTTAAAACAAATTCTACTCATAATGTTGTTGTAGTCTTAGATGCTCTATATTACGACTGAACTGCTAAGTGAAATAAGAGAAAATACTTGATAAAATTTGTCTTCAGTTTAAGTTGTCACGCCTGTTACCGTTTTACTTGATGTTAAGATACTTATCGGTTTGTTTGTTTCTAGTTCATAAAACACTCATATGAAAAGGTATAGTATTTATCGTTCCTAGCATTTCACGTAATTTGGTCATAATTTTTGACTCATTTATTTCTGTACATATTTTCTGTAGAATACTGCAATTAATAAGAAGATTCAGGAGAAATTCAAGTAAGCATTTCTGTTTTTGTTTATTCATTTATTTAACCACATAAATATTAGTACAAGGAAGCTGGAGATACATATGCGCCGCACAAATCTTATTTGATTTGTGTGAGGGCTGTGATACTGCCCAGGTGCACAAACTGAAGTAGGTGGTTTTCTTAGGGGGCCACACCCGGAGCCTTTGACCTAAAAGTCTGATCCACAAAGGAGTGAAGCATCGTAATGAGATGTAGTCCCATGGTAGCCGATGACCAGCAATTGATTCATACGCCATTTGTTCCCTCAGGACACTGGAGCCCATGTGCACCATTGGTTTGGAATCAGGGTTTTCCAAATCCTCTAGGTGGACTATCCATGTCCACCAACCCGGTCAAAACGCAGGACATTCGCTTTTGGTCCTCTCAATTTCTTAAACAACAGTAATGCCACGATAAGGCAGTGAGTAAGAATTCCGTGGCATAGGCTATATACTGGTGGCCATGTGAGAGCATTTGGCGATGGAGAGCGGACTCTTCCCACTCTCGGTCGTACCATGGCATTTGGGGGCTGCATTTCTGTTGAAATGACATTTTTTAGTTCTTGTAAAATATTCTCAATTCAATTTATCAAAAGTAAACTATATAAATTAAGTTGAGCGACTTCTTTCAGCAAGTCAGAAAACAGTGTTTAGTTATAAAACAATTTAAAATAAAAAAAGTAATGAAGTTGCAATAGCGAAACAGTTTCGACATGATTAATGAACTTTTCCATGTTGAAAATCAGATCAGTGGATAAAAAGTTGAAATATGTCTGGTAAATGAACTCATTCATGTGACTGAAGAATAAGTTTCCTCCTGAGCTAGAATGCGACTGTAAATAGTTATTCAAACAGTAGCTTCCTATAGCTTCTATGTTAATTGTGTGTAGGATTCATGAAATATAGCTTATCTATGACAAATCTGTGGTTGTATCCTTCGAGCTATATGAATATATAGTAGTTCCCGACGGAACAAACTTTTCACGATAAGAATTAATATTTTTGCTTGTTGACTTTAAACATAGTCAGAATCCAGCTTTCTAAATAAAATATGCCGAAAATTTACTACGGATAGAGGAACAGAGTGGATACCCAACCGACTTTTATGTTATGCTCCCCGTTCCCGATAACAATTTCAGTCACCTCAACAATCTTACTAGTACCACCTAATGTTAACAGTGAGCGTATCAGGATTTTAGAACAGACTCCACTACAGTAATTGCACCATTGCACTGCGCTAAATTTTGAAACACTCAAGCCCTTGAAGTTTTTAGTTGGATTCCTGGGATCAGATCATAAACAAGAACATTATCTGTTTCAGTTGTAACTTCAATCTGTTGGAAAACAAATTGGCTGAAATGATTCTCCTCGCCCACATCTGTTGTAACAGAATAGGACCTTTCCCTGTGTGTCTTCAGATTGTATGAGCACCATTTCTTGTCCGCCATTTTGTAAATAGTTTAGGATGTTTTCCTCCCCATAATCGCTGGTGACGCGTTCCAATGGAAGAATGTTTAGGCCGCCGCCATGACACTTATAATTTCGCGCAAAACTTTGAACACCTCCACCCCAAATCTGATTGGTTTGGCATTATAGTTTACCCCCATCTTAAATTTTACTATAGATCTATGATTGTAGCTTTAAAGAAGTAATTACTTGTTCAACCATCTGCAAATCTATACAAAAATACTTGTATCTCACACTGAATGTAAGATTTTCTGTATACTTCTTCAGCTTTTATTTGACGTCGCATAGTTTCTCGCTCGCCACACATCTAACCTGTTGCATGTGAATGTATCTTTCATAATGTCACTCCATATAATTTGGCCTTAATGTTATTTTCGAAATCTAGTATAAATGTAATTGTATGGTACATTTATTGCATTTTTCCTACCATTTAGGGTTTGTCTACGGTACTTCCTACCCCCTGAATGGCCAATGGAAAAAGACCAAATTCATACCCTTACAGATTCTGATCTTGCTAGCTTTCCTTTGGAAGACTTCTTCGATCGCTATGAACAGGGTCTCCGATCTGTAAGTATCATCTCTTTTATTATGCTAAACAGTTTTGTTTAAATCATTTGCGTTACTAAACTTTCAGATAACTTTCAACCTTTTTTAAAAGTTTGAGTTTTTATGAACGATACGCCTAAACTGTCTTCCTAACCGGTTCCTATAATCTCAACTACTTCTACGCATCAACTGGAACAATGGAGAGAAGACGCGAATTGCGAGTAAAAGCTTTATTTAAAGGTTAGGTCATGTACTGAAAAACCAGTGTATTTAAAGTGTTATATATAACTCTGGACTTTTAGAAATTTCTGTTAACATGGTAAATATGGTAATAGTATAGGTTAATACCCAATCATAATCATGACATGATTCTTCATTTTGTAGACGTTTCTGCGAAGCTTCTTTTCAACACTGATTAGGTTAAACGTTTCCTGGTGTTTCTGAGTCTCTAAAGACTTTGACGACAGATATTTTGGGACTTTCCCAACGACTAGTCACTCATTTGCTTTGTTTCTAGTGCTCCGATTTTTTTTGGAAACTGACGTGATCATCATGATAGTTGAGTAAAAATCAACCGGTAATTCGAGTTCTATGTCAATTAACATATTGTTTTCTAATATCAGGTACTAGTCCCCTTTTATTATGACATAATTGTTTGAAAAAATCTACAAAATACATTGTGTTTATTAAATATACGGATTGAATCACATTTGCTTTCGTTTAAAACTTACGAAATGTGCAAGGTGTTGAGGGCGATTTATTGAAATAACTCACTGAAAAATAGCTTTTCTCAAGCGACTGAAGACTTCGAATAAAAGAGGGATAATATAGCATCTAGAAAAGATATTCCGCTATCAATGAAAAAAACACATTCCGTTTGTATGCTATCTCCCATCCTCGATTAACTAATACAATGGTTGCTCATAAACGGAATTCGGAAACATCATTTGTATACACTTATCTGACTAGATACAAAATGACCAGCCAAATTCAGAAGCTGACTCTTTTTAAAAACTTCCAGGTATATTTCGAGCAACAGAAATTGGACTAGAATAAATGAATCGCCGCAAATAATTTATAAGGTTGATCTATCACGAATAAAGTATTTTTCATCCCAGTTCGCTTATTTACTGGACAAAGTTGTCAGACTAGTCTTTTCCTTTTATAGTTTCTCACTCAAATTATATACCCTCAAAAATCTCATTTCTTTTATACAGCTCTTGGCCACTTTCCAGCAAGAAACTAAAATATGCTCTGATCGATTAACTGAGTTACGATTCAACGTTTGTGAACTATTGAAGAAATATGATCCTGTAAGCTTTTATTAATTAAATAATGGGCTAGTACTTATGATCTCAATCATTAATACTCTTTTAATGATAAAAACATATGGTCACAATAGTATGTTCATTACGTGCAGTTTTTAGCGCTGTGCAAAGAAAGCTGAGTTCGAAAAACTTGTTTTATGAATTCTAAGTTTTAATTGGTACTATTTTCATTCCAAATTTACTTTCCAAATTGTACATTTCACCATACATTAACGTACGCCTGTTACACCTCATGGAGGAGCATAAGCCAACCATCAGAATTCTCCATTCAACTCTGTCCTGGGCAATCCTTTCCAGTTCTTTTCAGTTGCTATTCGCCCTTTTGATTTCTGCTTACAATTCTCGACGTAGTATGTTCTTTGATCTTCCTCTTTTCCGCTTCCCTTCATGATTCCAAGTTAGGGTTTGCTTCACGACCGACCGTTGCTGCTACCTTGACGTTGTGGCCGGGCTTGCCTATCGTGATGATCCAATCGGGCTATGCTGGCTGGAACAATCGTTCCTCAAAGTCCTACCATGCCAGACAGGTCGGTTGAAGAGCGGTAAGATTAAAAGCAGCAATCCCAAGGTCCGAAGGCGAAGTCGTACTGCTGACTGTACAGAGGTGTGACAGCAGTAAGGTGTTTCCTTCAGACAACCAGCATGACAGCGATGTTGCCTTCCCACAAGGAGGGGTGGGGTTAGAAAAGGTCGACCCTAAAAATGCACACCTCGCCTTATCCCACGGATATCCGTCTCCGGCGGTAAGGTCCTTTAAAGAACGGAGCTAACACGTCAAAAATCCCCCACAAAAAGGCCGTGCGTGGCCGGTCTCATGCAGTTGTCCCTTGGGCACTGCGGTCACGCTCACAGGTCGTTCAGACCAACACTAATCCAACTTCTTTTTCAGGTCCCTCAAGAAATACCCTTCCACGGTGTGGGCAGCCGGGAAGTGATACTAGCCCTCATACCCATAACTGCACACGAGACCAAGTTGGTCACTTTCAAATCCTTCCTACACCTAATAATACTCTTATCTCCACGACTGACCCTTCCCACGTCCTTTTATCACCTCGCACCGCTAGGGCAGACGATTCGAGTTCACAGAACGTTATTCCTGGTCTCCTGAAACCACGCTCTAAACTATATGTAGAAACTTTTAATGTCCGAATATTGTGCCAAATAGGACAACAGGCTTCCTTAGCTAGGACTTTAGAATTTTACACCATCGATGTGTACTGCGTCTCCGAAACGCGAGATCCGAGTAGTGTCATTCATTTGACCTCATCTAATCAAAATAAAGATTCATCTCGATACACGCTTCGTGTATTTGGAAGCCCTGATGCTGCTTCCCGTGGCCTCGCTGGAGTAGGTATAGCATTAAGTCCTAGGGCAGAACTAGCTCTTTTAGACTGGATCCCAGTAGACAGTCGTCTATGCGCTGTCCGACTAAACGGATCAGTAAGGACCCGGAAAGATAGGGAAACTCGTCGTTGCCTCTTCGTCGTCTCTGCCTACTCTCCCACTGACTACAGCTCAGACGATATAAAAGATGAGTTCTACAGGAAACTTTCTGACCTCCGAAAAGCTAGGCGTTCTGATATAGTAATAGTAGCAGGTGACTAATGCTCAAGTAGGTAAACTAAGTGAAAGGGAAAGACACCTGCGTGGATCTTATGATGTCATGGCTAAAAGAACAGATAATGGCGACCGCCTATTTCTTACAATTACTAACTTTAAGCATAAGGAAAAACATCTTTTGACATCGAGAGCCCCCGAATTCGTCCCAATGTTGGACCCAATTAGATCACATCGCCACCGATGGAGGGGCTCGATAGAAGACTGTCGCTCATTCTGGAGCACATGTTTAGATTCAGATCATGCTCTAGTGCGAGCACGTATCTGTCTGCGTCTTACTGGACGCAGGAAAGACACTGCAGGGAAGCCTCTAAGGGTTCTACTTAATGATAGGCCAGCTAAGAATATATTTCAGGAACAACTAGAAAAACAGTTAGGCAGCCATGTAAGTTATGCCCACCCTGAGGCAGTGTGGAATGACATCCGAAAAGCTGTGGAATCAGCGGTGATATCCGCTAGTAAGGTAAACCATAAGGTTAGGTAGAAACAATGGATCTCGGCAGCATCTACCGCACTGATATATGCTCGAAAACTCAGCACATCTGGCTCTGAACATAACGAAGAGCGGAGTCAAATTAAGCGCAGGCTAATAAGAAGCCTACGCAATGATCGTGAACAGTGGTGGGTAGTGAAAGCAAGAGATATGGAAAAGGCAGTGGCAATAGGTAACAGTAGGCAGCTATTCAGACTCGTTAGAGAAACCGGTATTAGGAATCCAAGTATCAGTGAAACCATCTCAGATAAAGATGGGCATATTATTCATTCTCAATCCAGGACACTGGATCGATGGGCAGAACACTTTAGGGATCAGTTCAACTGGCCTTCAGCCACACTTCAGTTACCCACGATCCTCAGTCGTCCTGAATGGCAAATTGAAGTAAGTCCTCCAACCCTCTGCGAGGTTGAAAAAGCTATAGGAAATCTGAAGCGAGGGAGAGCAGCAGGCCCTGACAGGTTGACCCCTGAGATTTTTAAGGATAGTGGTCCAGTACTAGCAGTGAGATTGACTGAGGTCTTATGTAGAATCTGGGAACTGGACGTAATTCCATCTGACTGGTCCCAATCGCTGATTGTGCCAGTCTATAAGAAAGGACAAAAATCCTCCTGTGACAATCACAGAGGGATCAGTTTGACTAATATGGTGTCTAAAATATTAGCTTCATTATTACTAGGTCGCCTAACCAAAGCTCGTGAAGAGCAGACTAGAGAAAACCAGTCTGGTTTTCAACCTGGACGTGGTTGCATAGACCAGATATTCACCCTACGTCAGGTCCTAGAACATAAACCTAAATTCAGACGTCCCACAATAGTAGTATTTCTTGACCTTAGGGAGGCATTTGACTCTGTTGATCGTGCGGTTCTATGGCAATGTTTGTCACTGAAAGGAGTACCAAAGAAGTACATTAACCTCATGAAGGCTCTTTACTCGAACACAACTGGTCGAGTTAGAGCCTATGGCGAACTGTCATCAGAACTGATTACCTCAAGTGATGTTCGTCAGGGCTGTCCACTCTCCCCATTCTTGTTTAACTTTGTCATTAACATACTTTTAGAGATAGCACTTTCATCAGCTAAACCTCCAGGAGTTGAACTTTTACCGGGAGGCTCACTTATTGACTTAGAATACGCCGACGACATAGTTTTACTTGGTGAGGACGCTGGCAACATGCAGAGTCTTCTGACCACTATAAGCAACTATGCAGGCATGTTCGGAATGCGATTCTCTCCCTCGAAGTGCAAAATGTTACTTCAGGATTGGGTTGCACCGACACCTGAACTAATGATAGGGAGTGAAGTAGTTGAGCGTGTAGACCACTTCACTTATCTTGGGAGTCTCATCAGCCCTTGTGGTCTGGTGTGTGACGGAATCTCAGTGCGGACACAGAAGGAACGTCTAGCTTTCGCCAACTTGCGTCATTTATGGCGTAGGCGAGATATTCGTCTAGCAACCAAAGGACGTGTCTACTGTGCAGCAGTTCGCTCCGTCCTACTTTATGGTAGTGAAACATGGCCAATAAGAGTAGAGGATATTCGTAGGCTACTAGTTTTTGATAACAGGTGTCTTCGACGCATTGCTCGTATATCCTGGGACCACCGGGTAAGTAATGCAGTTGTTAGGAAACGAGTACTAGGTAAGGATGGTAAATCGATTGATGAAGTAGTGAAACTTCATCAGTTGAGATGGCTGGGGCATGTGTTACGTATGCCCAACCACCGACTGCCCCGACGTGCAATGTTTCATGGTGTAGGAGTAGGTTGGAAGAAAGCTAGGGGCAGTCAGACCAATACATGGTAAAAATCCATGAAGTCACTGACAAGTGGACTGAGCCATGTTGGTAGGTGTAGACTACCTGGTTGGGATTCGCGAGATGACAGCAACCGATGGTTAGAGACCTTGAATGACATGGCTCAAAATCGTTTACAATAGCGAAGGTGCATCCACTCTTTGTGTTCTACCAAATTCTAATCTTCTGAATTCCTCATGTCTCTATCTTTTCTTCTTTCCAAATTTATTTCACTGTACTATACTACTTCAATAATTTCTTCAAACCCTAATCTTTTGGATTTCTGATTATACTCCTACTACTTCTACCATTATGGGATTTGAATCGACAACTGCATCGCTGTGCTAATGTGGTATGGCAACTCGAACTGATTTACGTACGTACGAAGTTCTACGTTGTGACTGACTGACGACGTCTTTTCTTAATTTCCCCTTCAGCCGGTTTGTTCTCTCCCATAGTAGGCTGTTGCTCATGGTATCAGGCTAACGAACATTGAGTATCTTACGTAGACATTAGTTTATAAATACTTGTACCTTTTTGATGATAGTTGTGGTAGTTCTGGATGTCCCAGCTCCATACAGTAAAACTGTCTTGACGTTCGTACTAGAGATTCTGACTTTGATATTGATTGACAGTTGTTTTGAGTCCTATGTGTTCTTCAACTGTTGGGATGCTTTCCTTGCTTTGACAATCCTTGCCTTTACATCTGCATCAGATCCTCCTTTTTCGTCGATGATGCTGCTACTCAGGTACGTGATAGTTTCCACCTCTTCCAAAGTTTCTCCATCAAGTGTGATTGCGTTGATGTTCTCTGTGTTGTATTTCAGGATCTTGATTTTTCCTTTGTGTATGTTGAGCCCTATTAATGCAGAAGATTCTGCTACATTGGTTGTCTTCACCTTCATTTTTTGGTGTATATGGGATATTAGGGCCAGGTCATCTGAGAAGTCTAAATCGTTTAGTTGCATCCAACCTGTCTACTGTATTCCGTGCTTCACTTCAGATGTGGTGGTCTTCATAATCCAGTCGATCACCAGAAGAAAGAGAAAGGGGAGAGTAGGCAGCCTTATCTCACTCCGGGCCTTACTTGGAATGACTGTGATATGCCCTCCATCTACGACTTTGCACCGTAGTCCGATTTTAAAATTCCGTATGGTGTTGACGATTTTCTCAGGTACACAGTACCGAAGAAGGTTCCATAAATTCCTCCTATCCACACTGTCGAATACTTTCTCACAGTTGATGTATAGTGACGAGTCCCACTCCATTGATTGTTCAACGGTGATCTGTAGTGTCACGATTCGGTCTGTGCACTACCGATCCCTACGGAATTCGGTCTGATGATCTCAAAGATGGACGTCTATTGAATCTTCCATATGGTTCAGCAACACTCTTGAAAACTTTTCCTGACAATAGTGTGATGCCTCTGTAATTCTCACATTTGCTCAGATCTCCCTTCTTTGGTATCTTGATAAGGTCTCCTTTCTTCCAGTCCGTTGGCACTTTTTCTTCCTCTCAAATCTTTTTGAATAGAATGCATGCAGTTGCAGTTGCTTCTATGTCTGACTTCATTGCTTTAGCTGGTATATTGTCAGGTCCTGCTGCTTTCCCACTTTTAATTTGTCTGATGACGGGCCATCCAGATTTCCTCGATCGTTGGTGGAGTGACATCTATTGGAAGGTCTGTAGGTACAGCTTCGATGTTGGGGAGGGGGTTAGTAAGGCTGGTCTATTCAAGAGTTCTTCAAAATGTTGTACCCACCTGTTACTCTGTTCTTGATTTTCAGTGATTGTCTTTCTTTCTTTGTCCTTTACGGGTCTCTCTGGTTTACTATATTTCCATGTTAGTTTCTTCATTCTGTCAGTGTAGTGTTTTTTTAGCAAAATTGTTTTCTACAGGATGGGGTTACTGACCCCATTTCCAACTCTCTCCCTTTACTCGGGTTTTGGACCGGCAATAACCTTAGGAAAGCTACAGGCAGAGATATAATAACTTCAGTGGTTGAAAATTTTATAAAAATCAGGGATTGTTAGGTGCTGTTAAGTAGTAAGCACCTCAAGATGTATGTAATTCGTCGAACATGTTACAAGGATAGAAATCACTTACACAGAGTATGCTCTACTGCACTTAATAACTTTGCTTCAACTTCTGACAAAGAATTTTTAAAAAAGTATTTTGCACTTTCGACTTATAGTAAGACCATGAAAATTAATGCTAAAATTCAGTATCCTTGAGGTTGAATCAGTTCAGAATATCGGATTCAACTTGATTCATCGATTTCGAAAATCCAAAACTGACATCAATTTTTGGTCGTATTTTTGAAAATGTTACATTTAGGTTAGTTTAAAAAAAGTCGCGAGCCAATCAGAAAAAAAGTAGGGTTCTTCCAAATTCTAATGCATATTTTAAAGTGTTTTCCATCGAATATAGCTTAGATTTATTGATAACTAAGGTATTAGATACTTAAGTTTATGTGTAATGGCTCAAGTTGAAGTTGGGTTTAGGGTGTAGAGTTGAGGACAGGTTTAGAATAAGTTATTAAGATTAACGTACATGTAGACTAACCATAAAACTATCTCATTCCAAAATCGTAGACTTTAAACTAATTCTAAATCGTAACTCGAAAATCCTAACTTTGATCTTAAATTCTACATTTCCATCGTAACTGAAACACTAAACTTTGAATCCTAGTTGTGGCATTATAAATTATTCATTCATATTTTCTGTTTTTTTCATCGACTTAATGAATTCAAACATTCGTTTGGATCAACTAAATAGTTGCTCAAGCTCACCGTTGTACTTCAGTTCAATCTTACAACTCAACTTAGTAACTTTATGTAATTTTATCTATCAAAGACTGACCTTAGTCTGGGTAATAGTGAAAACCGGGAAACATTGGGTATCTTCTTCTTCCTATTGTGGTACTAGAGCATGCATCCACGATCAAACTTATAATATTCAGGTTCTTTCAAGGACCACGTTTCCAAATCCAACGATTTTGCCACATATCTCAACGATCATCTAATGCTGTGGGCAATAAAGGTCTTGATCCTGATACCTACCCTGAATTACCATTATAGCTTTCGACCTAAAACATGGTGTCCCGATTTGTATGTTGTTTAAGTGGTCTCTAATCAATGGAGATTTTAAAATTCGTTTACCATGATATTTTTCTGACAAAAATACCTAAATTTATGCCACTCACCTCAAATCTCATACCATTTTCCTTTCCTCTGTAGAGCTTTACTGAACCACTGAGCGACGGTGAAGAAGTTGACAATTATATCAGAAATTTCCTTAATAAAGATTAATTTAATTGTAATAAAGGCAGCCAAACATGTTTTTAAAATTATTATGATCAACAAGATCATTGTATACCTTTTTTTTTATCTCATGTATTCGATCACTCTGCGAATAAATTATCCTTTCGCTCCAATTTCTCTCATTTTGTAATATTCCCATGCTTTACTCATTCTTCTATTATTGGAGTGTACATGCAGCTATTGTTAAATATAATGTTTACCTATAAACATAATTACTTATGTACACCTTATCATATTATTCTGATCTTGTTGAATATGTCAAAGGATCACCAAACTTTTTTTGTGCAGATTATACTCTCCTACAGAACTACGATTAATTTCACGCTTTATTATTTCAAAGGGGGGGACTACATACATTTGTCTATTTAGTCCATAAGCATTCTCTGTATATGTCTATGAAACTTGTTAATAATCGTAATCGGTATAAAGCACTCTTTTTCTTTTACTCCATTGTCTTTGTAATTATTTCTCTAATCCTATCTATTCATTTCTTGTTGTCAATCATTTAGTCAATGTATCTTGATAATATGTTACTGAATGAATCGTTTCATGAAAAAAAAAACGTACATCATGTCATGTACTCATCTTTCGTTTATATTCCTGTATTCATGAAAACTTGATCACGACCACCAGCAACTTCACTATAACTACCACCATTGCTACTGGGAGATATTCGTAAATAATCGATTAATTTACCATTAGCTTTATCGCTGTACAGTCATGACCATTTTGTGTTACTCATTTTCCCTCTCTTTTTCATGTGTAATTGTTTTCAAACTAAAGAGTAAGAGAGTTATCCAATAGTCTTTTCTTCTTATACATATTTGACATGCAAAAAAATTCGTATGTCAATACCTCATAATGAAACAAAAGTTTCCCGTGTTTCTATAAAATTGAATTAGTCAAGTATGTTCTGTCTGTTTGTTTGTTTGGAGTTTCGAAACTTAATTGTCCTAATCAGTAATTAGAGAGACGACCTTTGACTTAGGCTGTGTGAAGGGAATCGTTACGCTTGAAAGTACATTGTTCAATAAGCATTACTTAGGTAGTACACTCATATCTTACTAAAAGCAATAATATCAACTAGGGATAAAATATAAGAAATTGCTTCGTATAACCCAACCTAACAGTGACCTACACTGTTCGGTTCGATAACATGGTAGTTATAATGCTCGCCTTCCCAATAAGTCACGAAGTCAAACCTTGTTCAACTTAATATTTAGCAGCCTGATAGTATTATTTTTCCCTATACAAACGATATAGCTTAAAATCAAGTTCATAAACCCTGTTCGGATTAAATGAAATACGATTGAGTTGAGTGAAGTCAGAGCAAAATTGAGAACGATCAGACTAGCACAAAGCACCAACTCAGAGTGAGGCTTGTGTATATATCAGTGAAAGATTCAGACAACTTCATAGAATAAAAAGATAGCAAGCTTAGAATTATCTCCCAGCAACTATTCAGCACATCTTTATTTCCCATTCTGATGTGACAATCTTAATATACTCATACCTTCCAGTGTTAACCTAAAGGCACACAAGGAAACGGTGGGTTGATGGATCAATCAACCAATCACAAAGTATAACGTACATACATCGATTTATATTCACCGTACCCCTTTGGCACACTGAGATGAAATTGTCAGGCTAAATCCCAAAATAGTGTAGGCAGTGTCAGTGGTAATATAAAATATCAGGCATCGGAAATATGATTCATGAGGAGAATATATATTTATGAAGTAAAAAGAAAATCTATGAGGAATTTACAATCTGAGTTTGAGGAAGGACAAAGAATGGATGCACCTGCTCCGTTGCAAATGACTTTGAGCCATTTCATTCAAATTCTAGCAATTTGGTTACGATAATCACCAACCAGGTAGTCTATACCTATTAACATGGATCAGTCCAATTGTCAGTGACTTCATGGACTGATACCTCTTTTCGATTTGGCCTCCTCTATCTTTCTTCCAGCCTGCTGCTGCATTAGAAAACATCTCCCTTCGAGGAGGTAAGTAGTGGTTTGGCATGCGTAACACATGTCTCAACCACCTCAGTTGGTGATGATTTACTACCTCATCAATCGATTTCTCATCTTACCCAGTACATCACTCCCAACCCAGACATTGCTTACACCGTAGCCACGAAATACAAGCAATGCTTCGAAGACACCTATGATCGCATACCAGTAACCTACGAATATCCTTTCCTCTTGATGTCTATGTCTTACATTCATAAAGTAGGACGGAGCGAACTGCTACTCAGTAAACCTGTCCTTCGATTGGAAGACGGGTATATCGGTTACACCAAAACTGAAGCAAGTTAGCAAAAGCCTGTCGAGCATTTGGAATGCGTGTTCAGATTTCGTCTGATACTAGATCATCAGGATTCATGAGACTTCCAAGATAAGTGAAGCGGTCGGTATGCGCAACTACTTTGTGACATGACAAATATTGATGCAGAATAATATTAATTCATTATATTTCGTGGTTTCTCATCAGCTGCTTACAACCAAATATGTGTTAGAGTTTTAGCATTGGGGTAATTAATAGTGTGTAACAATGGACATAATGCTAATACATATTTGGTTGTAAGCAGCTGATGAGAAACCACGAAATATAATGAATTCATATAATTCTGCATCAATATTTGTTCTGTCTTTATTTAAATTCATAAAGGGAACTAACTGCATTAAACTTTGTGACATGACCTAATCTGAAACCCTTCTACTGTATATACAAGATTTAGAACCTCGAAGTCCATGTATCTAGTTGTCCAAATATATCTTTACATCCAACTGTAAGGATTTCGCAGTGTTCTTGATGTTGGTTATATATCCTTGCGTGTACGACTAATATAATCGTGTATGCCTGAACTTGTTGTCGCTGGACGCTCTTGAACTTTTCTACTTACCGTTTTCCGAATGCCATTATTTATCCAAAATTAAAAACTCATTCTAATCAAAAGTTGCAGCCCAGACAGCTACAACGTGATTTTTTTCTTGGAAATAAAAAAATGGTAGACGTATCGTGGTAAGGGGAATTATCGAATTCATCGGGGAAACACATCTCTGCTATTAAGTTGACAAGTGGAGTTGGTGATAAATAACCCGACCTTAGTTGCTACCTTGGGGTGGTACTCGTGACTGCCTATCCTGGACTAAACCAGGTCATATTGGCTGGTGCGCATGTTTCTTTAGATCCTACCATGTCAGCCAGGTCGGTTGAAGAATGGTAAGATTAAAAGCCGAAGGTGAAGTACTGCTGACTGTAGAAGGGTGTGACAACAGTTAGGCATTTGTCCAAAACAACCAGCATGAGAGCGACGCTGCCTTCTCACAACGGGATGAATGGGTTTGGAAAGGTAGACTCTAGATATGTCACACCTTACCCTATGAGCTTCCGTCTCTCATAGTAGGGCAAATTAATGTGGGCGGTTAACAAAGGATTTTCCATAAGTAAAAACCATGCGCGACCGGTCTCAAGCATTTGTCTCAGGCTATGTGGTCAAGCCACCAGGTCGCTCAGACTACCATTAATTCAGCTTTTCTATCATGTCCCTCAAGAAATATTCTACGGTGTGGGCAACTGAGATCATATTGTTGACTAACGAGTCCCACCATTACCTCTTAATAGTTGTCCCACCTTCATGACTAACTCTCTCTTGTCAATGAAAATAACCGGCACGATCTACCCTTCGAGTATATGGAAACCTCATTGCTAATTCCCGTAACCACGCTGGTGTAGATGTAGCACCAAGTTCTAAAGCATAACAGGATCTCCTAGACCAGATTCCATTGGACAGTCGCTTGTACGCTGTTCGACTAAACGGTACAGTAAGAACTCAAGAAGATAGGGAAGCACGCCGTTGCCTTTCCGTTATCTCTGTCTACGTCTCCATTGAATGCGACTCGGATGAAGTTAAAGATGAATTTTATGGGAAACTATCCAACCTCCTTTATAAAGCTGAATGCTTTGATGTCGTTATAGTTACAGTTGATTTTAATGCTCAAGTAAGTATGCTAAATCAAACTGAAAGGCACTTGAGCGCATCATATGGTGTGCCCGGAAACGCCCTGGTACGGCCGGGAGTGTCAGCTCTTCCTCTTGAAATGCTCTCCAATGGCCACGTGCATACAACCACTGCAAGGGAAGTCCTAATCAATGCCTTATCGCGGCGGTGTTGTTTAAGAAATTGAGAGGATGTAAAGTAAATTTCCGATGCTTTAACCGGGTCGGTTGACATGGAGGGTCCATCTAAGAGGATTGGAAAACTCTGATTCCAAACCAATGTTGCACACGGGCTCCAGTATCTTGAAGTAGCAGATGGTGTATGAACCAATTGTTGGCCACCGGCTACCATGGGACTACATCTGACGTTGCTCCACTGCTATGTGGATTAGACCTTTAGATCAAAGGCTGCAGGTGTGGCCCCCTAAGTAAACCATCCGCTTCGGTCAAGGCATCCGGGCAGTATCAGAGCCCTCACATAAATCGAATGATTTATGCGGCGCATATCTATTTGGTGTCTCCTTGTACCGATGTTTATGTGTTTAAATAAGTAAATCACACGGTGTTGAGGCTAAGATAAGCATCTATTTCTGGCAAGCACCAACCGTAAACATAAGGAGAAATATTGTCTCGTAGGGTGACCTCCACGACAAACTCCACTGGGTCATATTTGAATCGGATATTGTTGGAGTGACTCGACATAAGACTGACACTCATTCTGGATATCATGTTTAGACGCAGATCGTGTTCCAGTTTGAGCACGTAGAAAATCCACGTCAAGAAAATTGTTTGGAGTTCAACTTAGTGATGAGAAAATTAAGAATATATTTCAGGAACAACTAGAGGAGCTAGTCAACTGTGTAAATTGATATCCATCTCGAGATAGCTTGGTTTCATATCTAAAAAGCTGTGAAAACAGCAGTGGTATCTACTAGTAGCTTAAACAAAAGGGTTAGGACAAATCAGTGGATTTGATCGGCGTCTACGAAACTGATAAATGCTCAAGAATTCACCCTGTCTGGCTTAGAACACAATGAAAAGTGTGCGATGTTTACTAATGCAGCAGCAGGCTGGAAGAAAGATAGAGGAGGCCAAATCGAAAAGAGGTATCAGTCCATGAAGTCACTGACAATTGGACTGATCCATGTTAATAGGTATAGACTACCTGGTTGGTGATTATCGTAACCAAATTGCTAGAATTTGAATGAAATGGCTCAAAGTCATTTGCAACGGAGCAGGTGCATCCATTCTTTGTCCTTCCTCAAACTCAGATTGTAAATTCCTCATAGATTTTCTTTTTACTTCATAAATATATATTCTCCTCATGAATCATATTTCCGATGCCTGATATTTTATATTACCACTGACACTGCCTACACTATTTTGGGATTTAGCCTGACAATTTCATCTCAGTGTGCCAAAAGGGTACGGTGAACATAAATCGATGTATGTACGTACATGTTATACTTTGTAATTGATTGAATGGAATATCTTGATGTGGTAATGATACCTAACCGAACATCTTCAACAAGTTAACATCAATGTCGAATCGTTGTGATACTTTATTTTACGGAATTATATCTTAACTACAACTCAGTCGTCATTGGTTGGGTTTTGGGGACCTTCAGACTTCATCAAGCCAAAAATCTAGACCGTATGACCTTGTTACATTTTAACATTCATTTTATAGCTTTCTTCATTTGACAGCAACATGCTAGTTATCTACATTTAAACTAGAGATTCGTGTGACGAATGAGAAACGTGTTATTTCTTTTTCTCCGTTCTTTACAATCAGCCTGGATAATGTACAAGAATGTGAATACAAGGTCAAATAAACATACTGCATGCATGTATATGTTTTTTAGAAATTGCGAAAACACTTATTGCAAGACATAAAGCGTAAGATCGCACGTGAAATAAATATGTGTATCAATTAAGACAGAAATTCCATCATACATGTATTCGGTTCTGCTTGTTTCTGTGAAGCCATAAACATGCATGTAACGTGGTACATTCGATGTCTTTTTGATACACAAAATAAAGTGTATATGAATGTTTCAGAACGGGAAGAGCGAATGTGAAAGAAACAGCTCTCGCATACAGCATTTCGTAGGTACTCCGGGAACTTCACAGTTATGCCGGAAAGCTTTGATTCCCTCCCGTTTCTTGAATAACATTAAACTCTCCTCATTATCGTTAAGTGTTAACGACCACGTCATTGTTGGTTGATGCAATAAGTAGATCAACGGATAAGGTGGCATAACTCGAATATATCCTTTCTTCAGTCAATCAACATTGATATCTCCATCTTAACCATTTTTGTCCATGATTCATGCCTCAGAACCTTGCGCGGCCCTTCATAAGTCCTATCGGGTAGTCAGCGTAATGAATATTAACTTAAAGACGTGGCAGATTGAACAAAAACGTCACTTGACTGGTATCAGGTTGGAACAGGACTCGTAGTGTCTTTAAGCTGGCTCATGTAGGAAGTTATATTTATGTTAAGAAAGAGCATCCATTAATTCTTCAGGAAACCAAAGGGTTGTGGGATAAAACAGTCCATTCAACTTCATCTTCGACTGCTCTACGACTTTCGAGTAAGCATTTCTTCCCATCGCGGTTTCCTTACAACACTACTAGTTCGTGGGTGAGTGGGCGGTAGGTCGTTTATACAACCAAGAAACTAAAATCAATAAAATATTCTGCAAATCATCAGCACTAAACCATAGACTTAAATAGTTTTGCCTTATAATAATGATTTGACATCCTACTGAGCAAGGCAAATTTACATATAAACCTGTATTGGGCGGAAACCTGGAGAACTGCGAAAGCCATCATCCAGAAGATACGAGTGTTTATTAACAGTTGTCTACGCAAAATACTTCGGTTCCGTTGGTCAGACACTATCAGCAACAACCTACTGTGGGAGAAAACAAACCAGATTTCAGTGGAAGAAGAAATTAGAAAGTGCTGGAAGTGGATAGGACACACATTGAGGAAAGCACTCAACTGCGTCACAAGACAAGTACTTACTTGGAATCCTGAAGGCCAAAGGAGAAGCGGAAGATCACAGAACACATTAAGCTGAGAAATGGAGACAGAAATCAGAAGAATGAACAAAGATAGAATTAGAAAAGAAGGCTCAGGACAGAGTAAGTTGGATAATGGTGGTCGCTGGCCTATGCTCCATTGGAAGTAACAGGCGTAAGTAAAGCAATGTAATCCAAAGAGGCTGTACTTAAATGTTAAGACTTACTAGACATGCGTTCTTCTTTTTAACGGTAAAAAATAACCATCAGATTTTCGGCTTTACAAAGAATCACACCGACTAAACAGAGAGAGAACCTATTCTCATTATAAACTGATCATGTAGTAATTTATTAGCATTAATTTATAGTAATAATAATAATAACAATAATGATAATAATAATAATAGTCAATATATCATCATCAGTTGCATATAGCGATTGGAAAATATTTCATTTTCATTATCCTTTTATTATCAAGTAGATTTCATTCTTAAATCTAATTCGGCGTAGAGAATTGTATCGGTTCCAACAAACCAGCTTCAATCATAGGACAAGTTGGTCCACCACTACAGTTACCATTTCGATTATGATTTGTTATTAATAATTTTGGACAATATCTTATTGTATGAGCACGATCTTTAGTAGCACCGCATAATGGACAAGTGAATTTACGTAGAATTGGACAAGTTACTCGACCAAAACGATCTTTAACCTGGATTATAGGTGGAAACAAAGAGTGTGTGTACTTATATATTTATATATCTTGTATTTGCTAGAATAACTAATATGCATTTCTGGTTTGGTGCGTCACGAGATTGAAAACAACAAATGGAAATAAAGTATATGATCCTCCCAATAAACACTCGACTAAAGGAAGTAATACTGTGGTGTGTGCCACTTATGTAGATGTAAGTAGTATATAGCACTAGTCAGAAATAGAATGTCTGGCAGCAAAAGGTTGAGAAGATCGAGGAGCATAGAACGGGAACAGAAAGAAATTGGTATAGAGAAATGCAGGAACAATGAAGATATGAGGTAATTAATGAACATTTTGCAAATGAGGTATTGGGGTATGGCTTTTTAATTTTATCAAGTAACTCTGTAATTTGGTGCTAAATATAATCGGTTGTCCTCACCTGTGCTCTCCTTCCCTACGCTACAATACTTCATTGTTCCTGCATTTCTATAACGATTGCTTTCTGTTCCTATTCTTCCCTTCTCGATATTCTCAACCTTTTGCTGCCAGATATTTTATTCCTGACCCACGTTATACACTAATTATGTCGATATAAGTTGCACACTCGTCCCCCCTTTCAATAACCTGTTCTCGCAGTCTTTCCAACCGCCGTACCGCTGTCTTCTTTGGTGCCGATCATGACTCACACTCATAATGCTCTTGAAATCATCTCTACAGTTGACTGGCATTTATACGCTTCCGCCTGTCTTCTCTTCGGATTGTGTAAACCGAGCCTCTCCTCTCCGTGATAATGTACGGTCCCTCCCATTTCGGGATCAACTTTCCTGACCCTGATTCCCTTTCTATGTTACCTTCCCGTTCTCTACACTTTACCAGGTCCCTCACTATAAAAGGCTTCCAAACTCTTCTCTGCTGTTCCGCCTTCTTTATGTCTGATATTTTCTTCTTTTCCACGTTCTTTATTGCCTCCGTCCTCTATTTTCTTAATCTTGTTGTTGTCCACTTCTGTTGTTGTGGCCACGTCTTATTATGCATCGGAAGTTGTGGCTGTCTACCAGTCTACATAAACTCAGTGTCTCTCAACAACTTACATAGGGGTGCTGCTATTTCGTTGAAATTCTTGACACACTGACTGTAGACGCCGCTGTTCCTAGGGACTGTCACACTTTCCTTCCCGAATTAGGTACTATAATGTCCTTTATTTTTAGGATTTTATCCGGCAGTGGTTTTATTTTTCCGTTTCCCACTTTATGTCCCAACAACGTAACTCTATTTTTCGCTGTCTGTGACTTGTCCTTGTTAATTTGAAGTCCGAATTCTTCAATTCGCTTTAACACCACTTCCACATACCAGACATGATCTGTTTCTGTATGACTGTACACAACTACATCGTCGCCACATACCTCAACATTATCTAGATCTCTGAGCAACAGCGTCATTAATCTTCTGAACGTAAACCGTGCACCCATCAACCCTAACGGTATTCGTCTAAACTGATACTGTTTGTCACGTACAGTAAATGCTGTCTTTCTTCGATCGCTCTCTTTTATAGGCAGTTAACAATAACCTGACCGCAAATCCAACACTTTATGCACTGTGGCATTCTGCAGCCGATCTAACGTTTCCGCTTATATTATTCAGTTCTCTAAAATCGATACAAAATCTATACTTCTCATTCTGTTTCTTTACTGTTATATCTAGAGCTTTAGATTCTTACTATGCCGCGTAATACTGGACTACTTTAACGATCGAACCCATAACGTCGCAAGAGAGAAGACAGAAGACTAGTAAGTAGGAATGTTATTCTCAACAGTGTTAATTATAATACAAAACTGTCAGGTATTTATAGTTTTTAGTAAAAACGACACAATTTTAGTTATCCAATCAGCGCACATGGGGTTATTAACATTGTCCAATAGGGAAGCTACACGTAGTGATTCTGGAACATCCTTCCAAAAGTTGATTGAATGGAATATGTTCGGCTCCTTTTGAGCTTCTTAGAGCTTCCTCCAGTACTGGCGAGCTATATGGGCTGTCCGCTTCCTCAATCTTACCTTTTTCAACATCTGAACCTGTCGATTTACCTCAGCCTCTAAATGCACAGTGACACTTGTTGCAAATATATTTACTTGATTGTTTTTTATCAATATTTCGTACTTCCTGTTGTCACAAAATCCGTACGGCTCTCCGTTTCACGCTGCAGCTCCTAAATCTCCTCGATACTATTCATATCCCCTGACTTCCGCAACTGACCAGAGCTACTGTTCGGGTCATTAACTGTCATGTCACTTTCGCTAGTCCACTGTTATTTTTTAGATATATGCGGTGTTTACCAGTTTCAGCTGCTAAGAGACGGTAGCGGACACACTCTTGATAAACTGAGAAGCCAACAACTGTGCCTCCATCTCCTCAACTAGGTTCGGTAGCGCGCGGCGCAATATTGTAGTAAGCTCCACAGCTAGCACCAGTGGGTAACCATCGATCGACAACATCGCCAGCCGAAACTTTTGCATTGCTTCTTCACTGTCCACTGGGCTGTCGAACTTCACGATCAACCGCTCTGTGACTACCTTCCATGTCGTCTTCACGCCAGTATTATCCAAGCTGTTATATACAGCCTTCGCCCTGCCACTCAGCAGCTTCCCAGCACCACCATCTTCGCTTCAGGCTCCTTCACTGCCACCAGCTCAGCCACGGCCTGAAACTCCTTCAGGAAGCTCAGCACATCTCCGTCCTCTAATTACTTAGCCACGGAATCCTCATCCTTATGGAGGCAGTGACACCAAATGTAGTGAAGGAGAACACAGGTGAGGACAACCGATTATATTTAGCACCAAATTACAGAGTTAATTGATTAAATTAAAAAGCCATACCCCAATACCTCATTTGCAAAATGTTCATTAATTACCTCATATCTTCATTGTTCCTGCATTTCTATACCAATTTCTTTCTGTTCTCGTTCTATGCTCCTCGATCTTCTCAACCTTTTGCTGCCAGACATTCTATTTCTGACTAGTGCTATATACTACTTACATCTACATAAGTAGCACACACCATATAACTATTACCAAAGGTTTCGATTGCCTATAGGCAAAAAGCTAAGGAAATGAATAGTTGAATTATAATGGAAACAAATAATGTTTTTGTATTGTCCTAATTGAGCAGAAAATCAAAATGTTAATGCCTCATCACTCAGCGTAAGTCGAACCTATAGAGAATGAATAACTGAATTAAATTCATACAAATCTGAATTATGCAAAGGAATAGATCAAACTACTTAGTACAACCGAAATAAATTTAATTATGCTATTGGTCATGTCGTCCAGATAAAAAAAGTAATAGTCATGTTCATTTTACGTATATCTGAGTGAATATGAAAAAAATGGTATCTGTAATGTGTTGAAAGTAGAGATTATCTGTTCCCCTGCACTCTTTAAACTTGTGTATATAGATTTACACCGACTCATAAAACATTAAAAACTAGACTTTCTATTTATTTTGTGATTACGAACCATCCAATGTTCAGTCTATTTGAAATTATCAAAGTTATGCCTTGGTAGTGATACTTAGGAACTCATAACTAGTTGTTCAATCATATTTAAGCGCCAATAACCTTGAATCTACTTAACCTTGTTAGTTAGCTTCTATCCAAACTATTGTAAGATTTATAATGGCGCTGGCGGATGACTTTTGCTTCAAGACAATCCCGCACATTAATCACTGATTATATCTGAGAAATTGTGATCGATAATCCAATCATCACTTTATAAATCAGCCTCTCAACTACTCACCAAACTTAATCTTCTCCGATCTTCTATAGTTTCCGCAATCCGAAATGCTTACGTGGATAGGTGGGTAACATACGAAAGATGTAAAGACGATAAGATATGAAACAAAGAAGTTGAAAATATACAACTCCTGTCTTGAACTATGAAAATGGAAATGATACATTTGTATTGTTATAAGTAGTGACCATCATAAAAAGACGTCAAGATTGATGTACTTTGAAGTTTGTAAAGTATTTTCCATGATTTTGATTCATGTATTTATCTAACTGATTATACATTTGCTAGTTTTGTTGGCTAACTTTTCTTATGGAATCATCATTTCATTTATTTTGTGGCTTGGACATGTTCTACGAATGTCGTCCCAGAGAATTCCACGTCGTGCATTATTTGCCGACCCTTGGACTGGTTGGAAAAATCGGAGAGGTGGCCAGTGTATGACATGGTGTCGTGGTATGAAAGAAAGCTGCAAAGGGCTGGTTTCTGTTGGTCCTTCATGACTCCTTGGCTGGGGTCCAAGAGATGGTGCAACAAAGTTGCTAGAGACGTTATCAGATATGGCTCAGAAGAGAAGCCAGTGGTGATCCTGCTGTAAACTTCTTTTACTTTCTTCATAAAGAGTGATTATAACTTGTTAACTGAGTCTTCTGGTTGTACATTTCAGTTCCCCCCATCATTACTCTTCTCTTTTTTTTCTATTATATATACGCATCTTCCCCCTTTCTCTTCCCATTCTCATTGTTTTGTGTGGCGCATATGTATCTGGTGCCTCTTTGTACCAATATGTATGTGTTTAAATAAATAAATAAATAAATAAATAACTTTTCTTATCCAAACTAAACAGTACCAACAAGATTCGTGTTAAAAATCACCGAATATGAATACTAGTTTTGGTTCTTCTATTATAAAATAATCCAAGCATTAATAGATCATTCTATATTGGTAGACATTGTCATGTTTACCCGATTCTTTCGGGTGATCAAATTCTATCGATCATGCTGTAACATTATTCATCAGTCTACGTTATTTGATACTATGGGTGAACTGTTTGGTTTTAAGTCGTTCAATTCACTCACTCAACAAGAAACAGTGAATTTAAGTTGAGTTCTGACCTGTATAACATCCCTGAATATTTAGACCACTTTAGAAGAAAAATAGTTCAAGCGATAAATCAATATGGAATCAATAAACTGGATATTTCCTTTGTGAAATAACTAGTTCTATGTATGCAATAAAATGAAAAAAAAACCCTCTTGGAAACAATAATTTAACTCACTTTATGACTAGTATATATCTCTTTAGGTTCATTGTTGTTACGACAAAATACACACAGGTCTACATTAGCTTCTAATAATCTTTGAGTAGAAATAGCCATATTTTGTAGAAATTTAGCTAAATCTAATAAATGACTTTCATCTAATGTTTGATTTGATGTCAAACATGTATAAATGCTAAAAAGAAAGATGATCATTATTTTGTAAAGTAATCAATTATGATATATATATATATACTTTTAACATATTATGGAAATAAGACCATTATGAAAAGACTAAATAGTTCACATCATTCTCTAATGATCGAAAAAGAATAGTTCCTATGTCTCATAGTCAAGATTACAAACCAATTTTACGTAGACGCCGATTATCAGCTGCTTCGTCCAAATATGAGTATCAGTAATTATTGTATTCCAATTCGATAGCTTCTGAATAGTATCCCAAATGTAAAAACATGTTTGTTTTTATGTGGATCGATAAGTGTATATTGATTAAGACATTCGGAAGCAGCACGAATCAGTCACTCAGTGAATCTTGATTATCAAATGTTTTCCAGCTTGAATGAATCATTCTCATCATTTGACTCAAATTGGATTACTGAGTTCTCTACTTTTTTGATATTGAAGACTCGAATTTGATAAAATGAACACCAGGTTAAGGTTGATTAAAACCGTTACAGAAGTAAATTAGACAACATTTTATGTTTGCCTTCATTTACAAGGCAGTCTCTTTGTAAAATGTAGAAACTATAATTTTAACGTTTTCTGAAAAAGGTGAGAAAATTGTGCGTACTTCTTACTTGTTGAGTAATTCTTCAGTCAGTCTATATTTTAAAAACATAGGGCGAGACTATAATTTATCGACGACCTTTTAACGAATCTTAAGTGACCCTGAGAAATGTTAGGCCGATCAGTAAACAGTCATTATAGAGTAAAAATATATTATACAAAACCAAATAATTAAAGTGGATACACTTCTTTCATATGGTCCAAAAACTTATCAAGGTTAGTAAAAGGTTCAAAGGTTCCAAAATCGTAATACATGCGGTGGAAGAACTCATTCATATGGCTCCATAATAGTCGGTTTCTGGAGCAATGATAAGGTCACAAAAATCCTCTCAGCCTCGAACATATAGCTTCATTATTGTTTGTGTACTCCAGTTGTGTAAGTTTATGATTTTTATTATGGATATGTCCCTACAATGCTCATACCACTGAACAGACGAAGCTTCAGTAACATCTGCGATTATTGCAACCAATGTTACTGGTGCTTTTATTATACAGTTGGTGGCAATAATCCGGATCGAGCGATAAAGGTTCCTATTCTAGCAAACGTCTTCCTTCAACATATATTACACCGAAGAACAACATCACGGTAGTCTGCACAAGGTCCACAAGTCATTTAATACTCGTAATTACAAATACAGCAACTTCTTAGTGGTTTCATTTGTTGTAGCCGCTCAATTGTCAAATCTTCTCTAAAATTCTCTGTGAACCGATCGTCCATGAGCATCAGGTACTGAAATAGGTGCCGTGAACTTGAAATCCCTCAAACGCTTTTGATTGGCTCGTCCATAAATTATAGTCACGTCAAACATAGGTCTGTTGAAAGAAGTGATGAAGTTACTTTACAACAATTTTTACAGTTTAGTTCATATGCCTAATATCATCAAGTCAATCAAACTTCAAAGTTGTACTACGGACTAAATAGTAAGTAGTAAACATTCTATCAATCACTAAAGCAAATTTCCTAGCTAAATAAACCGTCTTCCGTTAATGAACTGACTGGTTTGTTGTAATGAATATAAGAACAATATCAAGAAATCAACAACTCTATTGCCAATAAAATATAGATTACAACTAATTTAATGAAATTACTAAATTAGACTTAGTCTGAGACTTTGACAAATACAAGAAATTGATTCAATGGTACTTCATTTCAAAAGTTAAACTGTGGCGTGGTCTACTTATATCGACATAAGTAGTATATATTGTAAGGAATAGAATATCTAACAGCCGAAGACTGAGATCAAGAAGAGAAAAACAGAGAAAAAAGCAATTGGTGTGGAAATCTAGGAACAATGAAGCTTAGGACAATTAAAGAACATTTTGCAAATAGAGTATCAGAGTATGGTTTTTGTATTTTATCAAGCAACGTTGTAATGTGTGCTAGATAGTTGATTGTCCTCAACTGTGTACTCATTCACTACTAATCCATTACATACGTACTATAGTGCACTGTTTTTGTTAACATTAGACTGTTAATGTACTTATATAAAATATGGGCATATACTGCACTTATCAACATTAAACATCAATGTACGAAGAATTTATTGGTGTTATCTTCGTAAACATTCATAAAACGAAAGATCAGAAAATGTATATAGTACCTTAATAATACACAGAAGGCAGTTGGTTCAACTAACTACATTATTTTTAGCTGTAAACAGCTAAGCAACAATATATGAATACAAATAAAAACATACAAAGGTATGTCAATATGATGGATTTCACTGACATACTACATAAACTTGGAATAGGAGTGTACTTTCAAAGTATTAAAAACAAAAGAACGAGTTAATTACTACTACCACTAGTACTACTCACATATTTCTCCATCCAATCATACATCGAATATAATCTAAATATTCTTCTGTTTGTCTTCTACTACCATTAATATTATTGTTACCATAATTAATTAGATCTCTAGCTAAAGAGAAAAAACAAAAAAAGTGAGTTGTCATGCATTTATTAATGTACATGTCCTTTTATCTCCAAGTGCAACTACATAAAAAAAACATTATACCGGTATAATTTAATGTTTAAGATTGAAGTAAACTTGATGAGATGTAGAATCATGTTTGGATTGGATGTGTTTACAGAGAATTTTAATAATTGAATTCATGAATCCATCTAAACTAGATCACTAGTGAAAACCTGTGAAAATACTACAATCTCCATAAATCCTCATTTTGATAATAATAACCATAAGCTCACTAGTGACTAGCTTCAAGATGGATTTCTTTGATTTCTAGTGAGAAGCCGTGACCAGTAGAGTCCAATTTGTGTCAAATGGAGTCAGTTATCAACATCAGACAATGAAGGGTTGGGCGAAATAATAGATCGATTGAAGTTAGACATCAAAATCGTTGGATACCGGCTAAGTGGTCCAGAGGTTAAGTGTTCGCGCGCAAGACCAAAGGTCCCGAGTTCAAGTGCAGCGTGTGGGATCGTGTATGTGCATTTGTGAGGACCTTCATACTAGTGTAGTGAACAAAAACACAGGTGGGGACAATCGAATGTATTTAAGCATAAATTACAGACTATCTCACTAAATTCTGATAACCATACACTAAACAGTTAAGTTGCAAAGTAACAATCAATTGCCTCAATCTTAACTGTTCTTTCTGCAAATATCAGTCCGTCTTCTCTGATTTCATTGTTCATGCATTTTCTATACTGATTGCGCTTCATTCCTGTTCGTTCCTTATCGATCTTCCGCCAAAATACATTTTATGTCTGACTATCACTTATATACTACTTATGTGGATATAGGTAAACCACACCACATTAGTACGTAGAAGCCGTCCGGCGCTTCTGTGTTTTCAACAGTGGTCTCGGCTAGATCAACTCATTAATTCAATTATTAAAATTACAATATTTCAGATTTAAGTTTCTAAATTACTCAAGAATATTCGAATATATTAGCAGCATATCCAGAGAGTAGGAAAAAACTTGTATATAAAATTTACAAATTATATAAACGTAGTGTACTTATGCAACCACCTAATGAACCAGGAAGTGATAGTGTTAGTACGAACACCTAATCCTGTGTGAAAATGATATCAAGATTGTAAAACTGTATACATAAACTAGATATTTAACCCATAAGACAAAATTTGTTCAATATGACAATAAATAATGGAAAAGAAAACTAGGTCATTCGATCCAAGGCGACATGGAACCTTGTACAAATCTCCGTTGATGATTTAGACTTGAGAGTATTTACTCGTTTAATTGTTAAATACAAAACTGTAAAGGAAACTATCATGTATCATGGTGTGTAAGCTGAGATAAGTTACAAATAACTACTACAAAACGAGCACCAATTGAAAGTAATTGATTTTGTTGAAAAGAAAATTTCATTTCAGTTGAAAATAAAAGCACTTAGTCAACTATGGACACATTGCTTCAAAGGAGTCTTCCTTCAAAATATAAAAAACTTAGTATGAACATTCTTTTAGACTTCAACGAAGTTCTCAAGGAATTAAACCCCAATTATATATAAAAAATCACAAAGACTTAACAAACTCCTGGAAATTGTAATCACTCAGGGAAATGCTTAGATTACTAGTCGATACATCCTTAGTTAACACTGACAGTTGATAGAAATCTAACAAACGAAGACAATAATTTCACGGCTAAGACAAAATAAAAGTGTTGAATCAAATTTGACTGTATTTATACACGTTTATTGTAAATAATTACCTTCCTTAGTAAAAAGGATCTTGAAACACAAAAGATAAATAAATCAAGAAGTCTACTGAGTTTGAACTAATACCATGCAGTCAAACCCATTATGTAGTAAACAAGAAAACGAGTGGGGACAATCGAATGTATTTAAGCACAAATTACATACTACCTCACAAAATCCTGATAACCATACAGTCAATAGCTCATTTGCAAAATAACAATTGCCTCAATCTTAACTGTTCCTTCTGCAAATATCAGTCCGTCTTCTCTGATTTCATTGTTCATTCATTTTCGTACCGATTGCGTTTCATTCCTGTTCGTTCTTTATCGATCTTCCGCCAAAATACATTTTATGTCTGACCATCACCATATACTACTTATGTGGACATAAGTAGACCACACCACATATATATATATATATATATATATATATATGGGCAAGACAAACAGAATACACAGAATGTAGTCTATTTGACTACACTGTAACGTTAGTTACTTATCAAAACATGGTCTTCAATTCCTGAACCTACACTGTACATCCAGCGGCATAGACGTCAGCTGTAATGTACTTCTAATGGTTTATTTATTTATTTCATTTGTCTCCATCTCTTAATAAGGCCATTAAGTATTATCGTTTCCATACATACTTTGACAAGCGTAATTATCTCGTATCTACTTTTGGTTTTATCATGAAAAGAATTACTAACACGACTGTAGTTGTTCCTAAAGATTTGTCCACTGAAATTGTAATAGCAATATTATACACAAATCATATTCACACTAAATGACTCATATTCCCACTATTGAAAAATGGATATTTGATTTCTGGATATATATCCACTTCAGAATTGTTTGATTTATGATCATATATGATAGTTCTCAATAATTTCTAGAACTTAGGACTACAGTCCTACACGAAAGATCGGAACTAATTTTATTTCCAACGCCTGAAATTCTCCCAAACATATTGTTAAATCCAAGAATTAATTCGTTCTCAATCATTCGAACGAACGTTTGCCAATATTTGAACGGTCTCACAAAGATTTATATTTAAGATTTGGATTGTTTTCTATCTGTCGGTAATTACAATGGCTGATCACTGAGTGATAACAATGTCATGTTTGCGTGAATGTTTGCATGTGAATGTGTGACTGATATTCTAAATAAACCTCAGTACTAAAGTGACGAAGTACGTATAACCGTGTTATTCTCTTAATCATTCAGCTGTGTACATCCCCTAATGATACAGCTTCTATTTAAAGCTAAACAGCTACTAAAATACCGGGGATATTTCTGTTTACCAGCTCACTGACATTTTAGATGTTGCACGTTGTGAGTAGAGATAATATGAAATTATGCGATATTAAAGGAACTACCAATTGGAGTTGCTAAATTTAACTCTCTATTCAGAACTAAACGGTAATTTAGCTAAAAAGTGCCATACGCTGATGACTAGAATTCGTACTACTTAAAATAGGTTATGTAAGTCGGTAAGTAGGGTAACATTTCATCTTAGATAGAATCGTTGAACAACATTAATTAGTTTAATTACACAATAATAAAACAGGATATTAGCGAAAATAGCATTCATCATCTTAACTACACAATAAGATCAACATCTTTATCGTAGAAATAGTGAATCCTATACATATAAAAAATAATCTTATTACATTGAGAAAATCCCACTACATATATATATAGATATACATTTGAGAAGTATCCGTTTTTGAACTCCTTTGAGAAGCTTAATCGTTTTAAGCAAGCAGATGTCACATATTATCAAGGGTTGGAATGCTAAGCCATACCATTAGGACACTTTAGAAATCCCTTATACCAGAACAATTTTTCTGCCATCATGATACTGCAAGCACAGTTGGTAAGAGCCCAATTTCAAAACAACACTATTTATTTTTCTGACTCCAATGACGAAGACAAAACGATGACTTCGAAATTGACAAGCCGATATAGTATGTTCATGTAGTGTCAAACTATATCACTACTGTGTCTTCAAGAGAAACAGATACATAACCTTCTATTCATTGTGTAAATACTTAATCCATAGTTATTATGAGAATTTTTCCAGAAATCAATGAATACAATCAACCAAAGGGAATAAAAATGACAGAACAAAACTAGGAAATAAGCTTCAGAAGCTATTCATTTGGCAATTTTCAGTCCGCTGTCTTAGTTATACCTGGCATATATTTGGAATGCAATCGCAAGGTACAACAGTCAGGTAAAATTGACACCACTTCTCAAAGACATTCGTTATGTGGCAAAGAGAAGAGTAAGCTTAACGAGGTTACCAAGAAACTGCCATACAGACATAATCTCAACTGAGAAATTAAAGTATAGTATACGGTAATCGAATTAAGCCTACTGCTTGGAAGATACGTGATTTGACGAGCGACCACATTCCTTAATGAAAGTGATAGAAACAACCAACTCGATAGAGTTGGGAATCACGCTGCTGATCAAAATATTATATTGAAAAGTTGTTACTGAGTAAAGTTAACTTACACTATAAGACGATTATTGGATAAAAGGTATAAACTTGGTTGCACAAACACTACGAAGAAACAAATCAAAATTTCCAAAACTGACTAGCGAAATTGATGTATTATTCTAATATGCTAGGTTTATCATTTTGAGGTACATGACGGAATCTATGTCGTCAACAGAAAAATTATGACATCCGAAATGACTTTATGACGAGACCTAAAATATGAAGTGCTTAGAAGTAACCCACAGTGCTGACAGATAAATATTCGGTAATTATAATATCAGTCGAACTTACACCCTGACCCTGGTTCACATTCCATTCAGAATAAAAATCACCTAGGATAACTGCCTCAGTAACTAGAAACTGTCAAAATAATAGAATGTTGTACTCGATCCGCTTGACTTTGGTGTAATTAGATGTTGCTAATTACAATAGTTATGAATGTCCATTTGTGCTCTCCCATTACATCGAATTACTGTGCCGTATGGCTAATTCCGTAGTATACCTTTCAAACGTCTATCTAGGGGTTATCTTAAAGAAACTAATCAAATGCACTTCTCCTTAGTCTTATGAATAGATCAGTCACAGTCAATCGTCCTGTATTAGGATCACAATAGAAACTCGTCAATTCAGCACTATAGGTCAATAATAAGATTCACGGACAATAGTAACAACTAAGAAAGCTTGGAGTAAGAAAAGTAATCATTATCCATCCTTTTGCTAATTTTATCAAATCTTGAATTGTTCCGTATTAAAATTACTAATCATTTTATCAAATTCTATGTGATATTGGGATCATAGTGATGGGTTCGAGCTAAAGTAGGAACATTAATGATTATTAAGATCCAAACAAGTCAATAAGTTGCAAGGTTAAATGCACACACTAGATATTGTTGCTAGCCTATAGCAAACAAACACAACTTATGCCATAGTCTAACTTCCACATAGACCTCAGTTTCTTAATTCCAATAGCCAATGAAACACCAACAACAATCAACATAAGGTATGAAAAAAACATAAAGTATGTATTATAACTACGATAACACTGACGACCTACCATTTGTCTGGACGATTTCGATATCATTAGTCTTGGGAGACATAATCCACGTGTCCAAAGGTGTTAAATGCCACTACCTAAAATCTGTTTGGAGAAGTTTAACTGGTGTAGGTAGATGAAGGCCAATAATCTGTTAACCAATCAGGGTTCAACATAAGTGAACAGAGGGGTGTAATAGTCTGTTTAGTTAAAAAAAAATCACTATCAATACTTGACAAACTGTTGGATGAAAAAATCGAGATGAGAATCAGTCATAAGTGAGAATGAATTTAAGATCTATGGTAGATTCACGTTACGATACTTTGACTGCATAGTAGAGTGCAAATGTGTCTAGCTTCTAAAGAGATAGAAGATGTCATGTATGTTAAACTCCACATCAATCCTATCAAAGACTCACCTTTTAAATTCTTTAAGCCTAGACTTAAATCATCATCAGTAAAAATTTTCCTTTGTCCTAGAAATTGCATTCAACAGAATTGTAGTTCAATTCTTATCTTTAGTTGGTGGAGTCTATCTAAATTAGTATTCTTCAAAATTCCCCATAAAAGCCAATCAAAATTAAAGCGGAACAAAAATTGTCCAATAGGAAGATGAATTCATATATCAGTGGTTTTAGTTGAAGAAGCCTGCAGTCGCTTTATAAATTTTTTCAAAGCAAGTGGGAAATACGGGGACAAGTAAGCTTCGGGAATTAGCATTATGGCGTTTTACACAAGTGTTAGTGAGGTCTTAACTAGTAGTGTAGGATTCTAACGCGTTCACAAATAATGTAGTATGAAAGTTTGTTTTACAGTTGACCCTTTAAACAACTGTTAATTATTTTGCAGTGAATAAATATATCTTCCATACTAACTGGGCTACCAAATTTCATAAGTCTAAAATGGTGTGAATTGATCATCCGGTACGACTATAATATATGGGCAACCTTTTGAGCGATACTAAAATGGCCTTGGAAAACAGCCAGCTACCAGGATTGAAACACGGTAAGAAATTAAGATTATAGGCAAAAGTTGGGAGTTAGGGTTAAGAATTAGGGTAAAAGTTTTATCACGAGCTGACATCAGTCATAATGTCGAGACTCTATTTCACACAAATATCCAACAGCCATGTTTTTAAGTCTGAATAATTCATCCGTAAGTTATAGTCTTGCTGATAACCCACTTTATTAACTAGACCTAGCCTCCTGCCATTTTCTTTTGTTCATGAAATATAAAGTAGCCATACAAAGGTGATAGCTAGATGATATGAAGACAATAAGACGTGAAACGATATAGGAGCTAAGAAAACATAACTCCTGAAGACTGCCAAGGATGATTTGGCTAATGAAAACATAAATGTAACAAATACAGTATTTATTAGACAACTATTTATCAAGATTACACAAATAGTAGATCGTTTGTTGGCTTATTGGTTTCTAGAATTGGTATTTAATGTGAATTTTTTATTTGTAGCTTATATCACGAATTGACTTTAGCTAAACAAACAACGAAAACAAGGAGGTACGTGGACATTCGTTTTGTCCTAGTATTAAAATTCTCAACTGTCAATCAGTCATACGTAATGCAGAATCTGGTTCATGTGTATATCGGTTCAATTTACCACACCCTTTTAGCATAATGACCAGCATCATTGATGAGCACGGTGGATCTGATGCAGATATGAAGGCCAGGATTGGCAAAGCAAGAGCAGCATATCTACAAGTGAAGAACATCTGGAACTCAAAACAACTGTCAACCAGCACCAAAGTCAGAACTTTCAATACAGTTCTACTGTATGGGGCGGAAACTTGGAGAACTACGAAAGTCATCATCCAGAAGATGCAAGTGTTTATTAACAGTTGTCTACGCAAAATAATTCGGATCCGTTGGTCAGACACTATCAGCAGCAAGTTACTGTGGGAGACAACAAACCAGAATCCAACGGAGGAATAAATCAGGAAGAAGTGCTGGAAGTGGATTGCGCACACCTTGAAGAAATCACCTGATTGCGTCACAAGACAAGCCCTCACATGGAATCCTGAAGGTCAAAGGAGAAGAGGAAGACCAAAGAACACATTATGCCGAGAAATGGAGACAGAAATGAGAAGAATGAATAAAATTTGGATAGAACTAGAAAGGAAGTCCCAGAACAGACTGACTTGGAGAATAGTGGTCGGTGGCCTATGCTCGATTGGGGTTAACAGGAGTAAGTAAGTAAGTATTAGCACAATGAGATACTAGAACAGTATAAGTTATAATAGCATTAGTGGTGATATGAAAGATTAGGTATAAACTATTTGTGTATGTATCCATTACCACAACGAGCATCAAGCTCTCGAATTTTAAGGCCTAATGGTCAGCACGTTACTTATAGACCACAAATTTTTATTCGAATGTTAGGTGAAGATGCTTATACACATCGAGACATTACATTTCGAACGAAAAATATGTGTCGCGATCATATGACTATATGTGCTTTCTAAACTCAGAATTTTGAATTCAATAATCTCCAGGACATATTATCAACGACAATAGTAACAATAGTCTGTAAGCACTTTTACTTGTAACGTAATACTGTTGATACCCAGTATAAAGAAAGTATACATTCTCAGAGTTACTCTTATTCGATACTATTGTTTATAAGTTTACCTAGATATGATAATGTATACTGATATGAATAAACTAATAATCCAAGCAATGTTAAGAAATCTATTCAAAGAACCAGTATGTCAGAAGTACTGAATATCAAAATCCAAAAAGTATGAATCTTCCAAATTAAAGATGTGGAGATTGTTGAGTTTTACAAAAATCATGAACCAACCAAATTTAGATAACCAATGAAAACCTAGAAGCACTGGACGGTCGTTCGGTACTAATATGGGACTTCTCATCATTGCATATACATGACCCTACAACTGGAAGTCAAACCCTGGACCCTCGGCCTCGCAAGTAGATGCTCAACCTTTAGACCACCGAGCCGAAATACGATGTACAAGTTTAACTACCAAACCACGATATTACGCGACCATCTTTTACTATCGGTGAATATCCTCCTTACACCCGAAACAGTTGTACTTCATTAATTACGGCTTCCCACTAGAATGCCGGAAATTCCCTCTCGTATCTAACCACCAGTGAGCACATGATAATTTTCAGTATTAAGTTGTGGAGGCCAAGGGTCGAAGGTTCTATTCCTGATAGTAAGGTTGTGGATGCGTACTGCCCAGGAGTCCTACATCACGACAAAATGGTCGTTCAACGCTTCCACGTTTTCTATGATTGTTTAAGTTAGATGGATTCCTGATTTGTCGACAATTTTTGTTTTGGTGTAGTGAGTTGGGTGACGTGATATTCTTCAAGTCGATTTAAAATTCGAAAGTGTAAACGAATTTTACTGGAAACAAAACCTAAAAATGATATTAGAAGCTTTTTACCTTGAAATTACAATATTCTATTAATCTATGATCCATCAAATACTTAAAAAAGTAACTTATAATAATGCTGTGTTTCCTTACAACTATACATCAAATATAACGTAATCTATGGTGTTAATACAAAGAGATGCATTTCCTACTGTTAACAATAAAACAACCATGATGATGATGATGAAAATGATATGGAATATGACAATAATAATAATAATATGTTCTGGAAAAAATAATTGCAGAATTCATGACAGTTTACAAACATCACTAGCTTGATATAGATAGTAATATCAAATGGAGGGGACAGATATGTGATACTAAATTGTTTTAAGTGTTCTCATTCGGGTACTACATTTTCCACATATACTACAGTGATGAAATGCATCAGCCGAGAATTTTTTATTCCTCTCAAGTGGACATCCTATTGATGTATGAACGGTGCATTTGAGGTCATTTCCTGTGCCATTAACGAATTGGTTATAACCTTTTATAACCGGAGAAAATAAAACAGAAGCAAAGAGCACGGAACAAAAAAGGCAATAATTGCTATGACAGGTTAGTCAGGTCTACCATCATACATGTGTCAGACCTTTTTTATAATATGCTGTTCGTGTTAGATATTATTCAAATTAGTTAAGGATGCCCAAGATGGTGTAAGTATAAAGTAACAGCAGGTAGGGATGTTTACTTAGTGTATTGAGTAATAAAAACGATTAAACATTTAAAGTTCCTACAATTTCACTTATGGAATAAAATACACTTGCTGGTGTAAGAACATTTAATGCATTTTCAGAGGAGCAGTAAGCATCTATGCAGTGAACAAAGGATGAGAGTGATTTTATCTCACGGATGGATTGTGATATATTATATCTGACTCTGGAAAATCTACTGGTAAAGTAATTAGTATAGAGAAAAGATTTATAATGGAATTGTTTCACTAATCAAAAAGAGTTACTGATGCTGTAACTAGGAGTTTCTGAATATTTTATTGGTTTAATAATTCCTGAGTGCTCAATCATAAATCTATGTATGCTCGTTTTAACCAAAGCCATATACACTATGTCAAATAAACCTTGAATATTTATTAACTTTGGCAAAGTATGAAATTACTTTTCATCAAGGCTCAAAACAACTATTCCAATTTAGATCAGAAGGGGTTTT